CTCTTGCAAACTGACAGACAGCTTGAAAACTTAGATGTATGAAGGGATCACCGGATCTGTTACTGTCTACTAGTTCAGACAGGCTTCGAATCGAATTCCGTGACTGTGGGTATCCTTGAGGAGCCGTGACCACAGAATCTATGCAAATACTCAAAAAGAAGCTTCCCGAGTGTTCCCTTCTTCTACCTTAAGGAATTTCCCCCTGGCATCAGTGAAAGAACCCAGAGAAGTGGTATCATGTCAAAACAACACATAAATGGCTGTTCGGTTGAAAGGCAAAAGATGATTCGCTAATGGCTTGCGAAGAACCACAACAGTGAGGTCAAATATTCTCATAAGGCTGTTTCGAATACCTGGTGGATTTCATAAATGAGGATGAAACCATTGCTCAATGCGAAAAAAAAGTGTGTTATATTCACCCTAGAAGGTCAACTCTGGTAGCTTTAGTCGTCCAGAAGGACTAGACCTTCGCATATTATCGGCATTAGCGAATATCGATACGAACTGCTGACAATGTTGCTTAGAGTGTCACTAAAACGGTTGAAATCACTGGGAGACTTGAAGAAAGCCATTTAAGTTTGACCCACAAAACTAGGTTCAACCATTTGGTCAAAAAGTGATGTGCACTTAGTCTAAGCGACATAGTTGTCCGGCACCTATAAAGAATCATCCTTGAAATAGTTATCAAATATTTCGAGATTAATGAGATTCTAGCCGACGAACAACGTTGTTTTAGGACCGGTTAGTCTGGCTTGATAAACCTTTCGCTTGCTGGGGAAAAGTACGACGCACTGTACTAGACAAATGTGCTTACAGATGTACTGTTTCGTTGACTTAAATAAGGCCATTGATAAAGTATTCCATTCATACGTCCGGGTTAGGCTAAAAAGTTTCAGAGTTGACAAGAAAAGAATGGACTACTTTAAGGACCTTCATGGCAGGAGAAAACTGACAGTCGAGGGCAATGGGATACTGCCCTTCAGTCACTCCTTCTAATTCGAGGGAGTGTTCCCTCTCATCTTCGCAGTGATTAGGATACCTTGCTTTGTGCCTACATGTGAGGCAGAAATATGGAGGACCATGAACAGTCATGGGAATGGCAACTCCTGCATTAGTAATTTAGTGTATGAACTGGATCAGCCGTCGGGTACTTGCTTGATTTAAACGGTAATACATACCATACTATTGCCATAGGATCCTTAAAATGAGGACGAGGGAGTCATTTTAAGACATAACCTCAAATCTAGGAAAATGGCATGTAACTGGCCGCACAAAATTTCTGAGTTCTATGGTCTTTTCTCAGGGTCATCCATTGCATTGATAAGCATTGGATCCGGATATTATATCCGACATAACACTCGTCTTTTTGGATACGTGAAACACGTAAAGGGCCAATTTTCTAAATGTGGAGTAAACACGCCTAAAATATTTTTGACAGACCGTTACAACGTTGGTCAGCAGCCTCTCATGGGAAAGGATTAGACCAGGCTGACCAATTTCTGACATCTAAACAGAAGTTTAGGAATGACCTCATCCCAGCAGACTTTGTCCTGGTTAATGATCTGGATCATGATATGTCTAATTCATTCGTAAATTTTGAAGCTGATAAGCGGAGAAGATTTAACTGAAGGGCCTGAAAGTCTGGGCCAGATAGTCTGCGTGTGAAAATCATCATCTCGCACCAGATTGTGCACCAATAGATTCTTTTCTCAGGATACTTGTTTATGCCCCTTCAACTAAAAATTTCAAACCAAGATTGGATTTGGGTAGTCTCTCATATCGTAAGGGATAATATACGTCACCAGACCTGTAATCCTTCTTTCTGAAAGGTTGTTTATGCTGCACCTAAAAGCAGCGATGTTTGAACTTAGGCGCTACAACTTTTTGTGGTCGTTATGCAGGCTTTTTCCAACCATGAGTATATGATATTTCAAAGTGTTCGGGATGGTAGGATTGACACTCAGGTTTAACTAACAATGCATTCTGTCGTATTCTGTATCCTGTGTTTATATATTTTAAAATATAGATATCAAGTTTAACTAGTGTGTTACTTAGTTCAGCGCTTGCACCAGTGCTTTCACTTGTGTGTGTTGACCATCTAAATCTCACTACAAAAGACTGACGTTTCCGCATAATTATTTGCCAAAACCGTTGATATATCTGGTAGGGAGTACCGCTTTGAGAGACTATCTGACCATAGCCTTCAAAAGTGGAAAATAAAACACACTCTATTTTGAAAAAAGGAATTGTTCTCAGCACTTTAAAGCGTTTTTACTTGTAACACTCATTTTGTTCTGGGTTTCGGATGAAGAGACAGCTTGAATACGTTAAAAACTTATCAGTATTGAGGCACTGCACTTGTTGCGTTCGAAGATTTTGCATAATGGCTCTTGTTTGTCGTTTTTGATTCCTTAGAAAACACTGTGTAGAGAAATCTATAAGAAGTCGGAAAGACTATCCGTGCTCAGTCGCATTTATCTCCCTGAGATCTCATACTATGGCTTATCTTACCAATATATCAAACAAACGAGAAATTTGGTGAAACATGAGACTTTAGCCCTCTCAAAATAACTAGATTGAAGCAGACTGACTTTCAGCCAGTAAATCCTTGTCTTCATTGTAGGTGAGTTAATGCCGAAGTGGTTCATGTTTACACTTACTACATTGTTGATTGGCCTGAACTTAATTGCGTAGAAATACATGAGCCTGCTAATTTCTAAAAGAAATAATACGTATATCTCAAATTCCATTGTTAGTCGCTATCCATCGTTACCGTAAGTTGTTCAGACTTTGGAGATTTGTAGGGAAGGTGGGGGAACAGAAGTAAAACTAGAATTCTTGTGATAAGAGGTTTAATTCCAATTAATGGAACTATTTATTAGAATCTTGGAGGTGATTGGACGTTAATTTTCAGCTTAAAGGAATAGAATTTAGAAGTCAAGTCTCCAAACAAAATAGTCACTGATGATAAGTTACTGTTCCCAACGTGGTTGTGGGATGTTTGCTAAATTACAATTTGGTTGTTGCGAAGCGTAGAAGTGCTTTTCGGAGGACGAATACACTGCAACAATATGCTTCGTTCCTGTATACAAATTAAAAGATGATCATGAAAAGTTGAAAAGTAAAACTTTTGGCCGTGAACTCAATTCTTGTACGTGTTTTTTCACTAGACATGTTACTTAATGAGTAACCATTTGTTATACTACCCGATTACGCAGAGTAATATAGGTGGAGTTAGATTGCTAACACTGGCAAAGAACCATAAAGACATAAATATCAAATCATGCATTATTGTGCACAGGTTGAGTTGTTGAACTTTACAGTAGCATATTGAAGTAGTAGTCAGAAAGAGAAAAGACGAAGAAAATATTGTCAGGAGTGGTAACAAGTTGTAGAGAATAATGACCTGTGATAAAACCACCGTGCAGTGTTAAAGTTACTCATGTTGTCAGTTGGACATCACTGGATAAACATCTAAGCCTTCTGTAATTACAGTTATTAAGAAACTCTTCAGTCGTTCGCTCACTGCATTTCTTAATTGGTCACTAGATAGTGGTGGGAATCTCAGGGAAACCGAAGAAAACATGGCATTTATACTTACTCCCACCGCTTCCCAGCATGTCATATAGCTAGATATAGTCTGTTAAGTTATGACCTTCAGATATTGGCTGAGTGCTGATCATAGCCTTGCAGACGTGTTCACCCCTCCACCTAATATTAGAACTGAATAAACTTATTATTTTGACATTATTTTACCTGCTGGTTCTTTTGATTCCACAGCGATTTTTTTTCTCATGATCAAAGTAAAAACAACTTCAGATACCTGATTCTTATAATTTTTTTCGCTTATCACTATTATTTCCACCGTGACAGGATCCTTCATATACCTGAGATGGAATTCGCATTATTCCTCTTACATATGTTAGGAGCTGACTCGATGAACGAATGCTCAGTAATCAATCCACCTAATTATATTGTTCTTTAGTTTTGTTATAGCTCACTTCCTATGATTTGATAATCTGGCGAACTTTGGCCTATTCATTTGACTTCGTTGTGTGGCACATTTATTTTTGTCAAACTGGGTTAACAAAATCTCTGGTACAAGATTTGTTAGGAATCACTTTGACACATGCAGTTTGTCTCAGGCAAAAACGTGAGGGTATATTTAAAAAGCAATTTTATTGTTCGTATTCGGATAGTCAGTGATATCCAATAACCCAAAACACTGATTTCCTAAATTTTCAAGTAGGACCTATCTCAAAAGTTTGATTTAATAGAAGAGCGAAAAATTTTACCATTTTTTCTATGTAGCAATGCAGTCCAAGCGGTAGCTACTTAGACACATTTGAGATAAATCTCTTTCAAGAATCAAATCCAAGGTTCCAGTAACTTTGCCAGTGACTAATTTGAATAAGTAGTGATAACTAAGAATCATTTTGCCTAATTACTTGGTTGCACTTGACTTAAAAACAATTCCCGTTGTGCAGATACGTCAATATCGTATTTTCATCTCGGTCATTGTTTAACATTTCGTTGTCCTAACCTGCTCACCTTTCTGTTTTTTCTCTTTGTATGACTTGATTACTTTGCTTCCATTTATTTGTCCCTAACCCTGCCTTGAATCTTATTATATTGACGTAGCTTAGCGACTTTGACATTCTCAGGTCCTATTCTAATGATTGACTAAATGATTAAGCTGAGTGATCTTAAGGCTTTCTTTTGTGGTGAAAGGTCTGGTCGTTATCTTCAACCTTCACCTAATTACTTTGAACGTTGGAGGATTGACTGCTTAGTCAAAGTGCACTTTTTTCTCTTTAAAATCTGAATCCTCTCAGTTTTGCTCTCCTGTCTTAAGATACTCATGTGTTACCCTCTTCTATTCTATTTTCACCATGTTTGTTACAGATTTCTGTCAAATGTTTAGCGCGTGAATCTACCTTTTGTAAATATAAGAAGGATAGCACCGTTTCAACTTGAATATTTACACTAATTCATCTGGAATGCAGTCCAATGAAAGCAGTAAATCATCTCGTCATACTCGTTCGCTTCTTCGACATGGATCTTTAAGACATTCTTCGCATGATGTGAACTCAAAAACACATACAGATTCTGTTGAGTCGAGTAACTTACCGCCACCCCCTCCACCACCACCTCGATATCCTTTAAAGAGTGATGGATTTTCACCACAAACTGGATATATAATATCTGATGCCTCCAGCGAGCAAACACCGAAATCTCCACCTAGAACTTCTTCTTTAAGACCTAGGGGAATTCCACTGAGACGTGAGAGCGTTGTGCAAGCTGTTAAATGTAAGTCCATTCCCCTATACATATGATTTGCTTTAGTATTGAATGAATAAATGTAGTCTGCAGGAAGCTTAGTAACTTAATTTTAGGCATATACCAATAAAAACTTCACGTCATCAAAGAGGTTGATTTTCTACTCAGGACGCAAATCCTTATCATTTATAAATAAACTGTTCCGATCCCAAACTATTTCCTGCCGAACTATACCAAACATATTGATCAGTAACCGGATAGTAATCATCATCACTACTGACTTATTAGTAGTTAAACTGTATAGCGTACACACCAAGATAAATAAAGTGACATCTAACTGCAGTGCATTTTATGTTAGATGGTTAGAGGTGGTCGATAGGTGTGGAACTGTGGCCCACTGATCTTAACACTCAATCTCCATCCACTGGGTCATGGGGCCGAGCTCCATTCCACCTATCAAGCCCCAGAAAACTGGGTAGTATCACTAACCCTTATACTATAGGTGTAGCTTATCGCCTCTTACATGCAATTGTAAGTGGTTGCTGAGTGAATTTCGATTTCAAACTAGTTTACTAACAATTTACTTGTTCGATGAATTCCTCCCAGTACTATCAGCAATAAAGGACGAGTATAATTACTGACAGTGGAGTAGCATAAATATTAATTGACGTATAGGGAGAATAATCGTTTAGACACTAGGCTGGAAGGAAAACCGTGCAGTCGCAAATATATTTTTTGATAACACTCGATAACTGAAATGAAATCGATGAATGTTTCACATTCGCACTTCATAATCTGTCAGAGCAGTAAATCGGTTTCCTGAAGGCTATTGGCATACATTTGATCATATTTGAGATTACTTTCGACATCATTTACTGTACTGTCGTAGTTATGACTATTCATATCTGTAGTTCGTATGAAATAAACTATCTTATGTATTCTTGATTTTATGTATTTTTCATAATCGCACTAAAGTTTAAGTTTTTTGAAATAATTGTCATTACAGTGTTTGGGTAGGTGAGTTGTTCGTTGTTGACTTATTGTTTACGCTGTAATGTTTTCTCTTTTTTGTTGTCCTGTATTCTGTGTTATTTTAAAAGGAAATCCTTTATGAAAAATAGTCATGTTATTTTCTTTTCTACTGACCAGTTTTCAGAGCCTAGGTCAATTTCTTGAGACATTCTGTTGATTCATGTGTATTAACATATAGTAACCGCTATGCAAAGTACCCATGAATCTCGCCGTACTAGAATTTTCCTTTTGAAAGTTTTGTGTTGACTGTGGAGCTGTAGCCCATTGGCTTCAGCTGTTGACTCTTAAGCTCTTTTCGATCTAAACAGCTGAATGGCATCATGGACCCCTATGCATTAGTTTTGGCTTATATCCTAGAACATACATTTGCACTTGGTTGTATTTTCAAAGAGATATAATCAAAACAGAAATGGAATTAGCAATCATCAAGTCAAACACTAAACAGCAATACGGGAGATCTGTATTACCTGGTTATTTAAGTTTTTGAAGTTTAATAAAACCCTTCGGATATGGTTTGGTGTAAAAAGAAACATCAACTCTCCTTTGGTGTGAGGTTCACGTTCACTTGGTAACTTACTTTATCATACCAGTTTATTTTTTTCTCAACATCAACTTACCAGTGATATATGGCGTTTCATGCTACCAGAAATCACTATCACTTAGAAGAAGCATATTTTGTCTGTAGAAAATTTAAAGATCCTAGTGAACATCTTTTTTGTGGAGTTATGATCACAGTAAACAAATGCTCGTAAGTAGTCGTATACGAGTCTGTGTACGGATCTGTAAACCTAGTCCTCAGTGAATTGGGTAGGATATAAATCAACCTGTGACCCAACATTTGTTAGTTGGGAATCAAGATTCGTAAACCCCAGGTTCTAGTTTACTTGTCTAGATTCATACTTGTTTCGCAGTGTAACATTTTGTTTTCCACTTTCCTTCCGCTACACTTGTTGTAACTACTGTTGTTTCATTCCCCGTTGTTATTCATTATCTTTTTTGTTATTGCTACTGTTGCTGTCGTCATTATTTGTTGTTTTCCAGTTGGTTTTGATCCTTTCGCTCCAAGCGTTTTCCTAAGCTGCTTTTTGTTTGTTGTATGCGTCAGGTGGTATATCTTCCTTGAAGTTTTAAGAAACCGATAGTTGTTATTCAGTTAACCATCACTGCTGAATTTGCTGAATGTCATTCAGAGTATAAATTTTCTTGAATTTTACGTAAACCATTTTCTCTGTAGTTAGTTCTTGAGGAGGTTTGTACTTCACTAATTGTAGCGTTTGCAAGATTCACATTCGCAAGTAAGGATTGATTGCACAAGTAAGTGAAATATGACTTTAAAATTCTACTGTGAAAACTGAAATAGTCACAAAAGGTGCATTGCTTGGTACCAGTAATGACTATGAAATTGTAAGCATAATATCTGCAAAACATATTCCCAACCAATGTGACCGTTCTGAAATAACTGATACCTTTATCAACGCTTGATAAACAAGCAAAATGTTAGCACACTTTAATTCTCTGAAATAAACCGATACTAATATACATAAGGTGAAAAAGTCAACTATAGAGTGCTTATGCCGTCAAGACCCGGTTAACAGATACTATCGCTACCAGTAGTTTCCTACCATAGATTTTAATCTGTAACATTTTATAGTCCTCTACTAAACTAACGACAGTATCCGACTAATGTCGCCGCGCAAGAAATTCATTAATAAAAGCGTACGTATAAACGATATATTTCATTCAGCGAACATCAGCGTTTTTTATTATCTACAGTTTAAGTTGTGAACATATTTCTATCAACGACCCAAGGTCATGCTAAAAAACGTCTACCCATTGAGTCATATTTTGCAAAAATATGTTTAGTTCAATTTGGACGTTTGTGGGGATTTATGTATTGGTTTCAAAGTGGACTGACATCAGTTGGAAAGCCATTGAAAGCCTGAAAGCACTGGATATGTGTTTCGTCCCAGTATGAGGCTCCTCAGCAATGTGCACCCGTGACCCTGCCACAGGTCAAACCCAGGACCTTCTGTAAACTGGCAAAAATAAAAAATATGGACTACTGAGTTCGAACTCATTGGCTAATTAGTAACATGCTGGCAGCGGGACCTGAAAGCCCTAAGTCCAATCCCTGACGGGTTCCTGGGTGCACACTGCTGAGGAGTCCCGTACTGGGACGAAACAGCCGCTATCCAGTGCTCCCAGACTTCCGGTGTTTCTCCAACTGATGGTCAGTTCATGATGAATACTGACCTGAAAATATCTCAGGGCCAGAAGTCTAATTATTTGATGGTGAAGAACTACCTAGGTTCCTGTATTTTATCAAAGTAGGTGTCACACGCCGTTTGTATAGTTGAACTGCATTCCCAAGTACTGTCAGTTTATTCGTTTTTCCTCACTTGTGTACAGTTCAAACTCCCATCCATCAGGCTACAGATTCTAACCTGACTCGGTGGACCAAGATTCAAATAACCAAGGTTTATCTCTAGCGCTCATACAAAAGTTGCGATTCATAGCCGAACACATGAACAAATAAACAGTTACTGATCATAGTTATCTGCCACATCTTATGATCTTCTTATTGTTGTGATTTATTTGTTTGTTTGTTAGATGGATCAAGTGAATGCCAAAGCCTCAAAAAACCTCAAATCAGTTCATCATCTAGCAATAATGAGAGCTCTGATAAACAATTCCCGGTTGTAGATCGTCCTGCCCGACCATTCACATTGCCTACTACTACTAATACTAGTACAGCAACTACCACTACTCCTTCAGCTAGTAGTAGTAATGAAAAGCTATCGGTTAGTATTGCGATTACAAAATATAAAGTTGATAGTTTATGTCAAACAGATCCTAGAAGTACACCATTATTGTCACGTCTACTAGCTCCTGGTTTTGCTACATCAGTAGTCAGTTCAACGAATAACACAAACTCAAGTCAACGAAAAGGGAATAATCAGAGCTATGAGTCATCAGAGGGTGATCGGAGCCCAGTCCCAAGTTCTTCCAGTGCTCAAGGCTTTTTAACTGAAGTGAATAGACAGGAAGTAGGATTAAAAGATCGTATACTTTCTCAAGATGTGGCGAGTTCTGACAAATATCAGAAGAAGGACAGTGAGAATGTCTCATGGGTAATCATCAACTTTGGTGTTATATGCATGTTTCATAAACAACATATTCTGTGTTTGATTATAGCTTAAAATAAAGTGGTCACATTCACTACTAGGTGCTTTTGATCTCAGCAGCTGACTTTCAAAGATTGAAAGCTTGCTTCACCTACGGAAGTTTGCACTGTCAGATAGTATCTTTAGTATTCACATATTAGGTATGGTTAACGGTTAATATGCATATAGTTACTGATTGGTCTTTTCATTTTGATTTGCTCTAATAATGCTTTATACAATGCTAGGAAAATTGATAAATAAGGCATTGTATACTAATGATTTAGAAAGATTGCATGAAAATTCCCTTTGTTAACTTGATTTGGAAAGCTTGAACCATTGATTTGTGTTAAATGGGATTTAAAAAATTACTTCACTGCTTTCCTGTTCTTTTCAGTGTAAGTCACTAAAATGTGCTCCTTATGGAATGCAAAGTGTCTACGGAATTATCAAGGATGCTTTTCTTAGTTAATTCCACAAATTAAGGTTTCTAACTACCTAATTGCCTACTACTGAAACTCATGACCACTTTCCCGGTATTACCAGTAGTATGAACTGCATCACTGAAACATTGAGAGATCAAGATTGTTGAGGATGTCGAACATCTATATTTCGACACACTCAGATCTTAAGGGCATTCAAGAGGACACTATAACAGTAGTTGCGAGTTAAGAACTCGGTTTATATCACTTTCTTAATGAACCTTCTTTTTATAAAAAATCAGGATTTATGTGATATGAAAATTGTGTTGCATTTTACCATACTTTCTTGTCATTCAAACTTACATAAAAGGCTTTATTCACCTGCTGTTGAGGCTTTTTATAGCTTAACCTTTCGACAGATGCATTCATGTAACTTTTCAAACCTAACTAGATATGGACACAACTACTTCATCTTACATTTTTTTTAAATCGTAGCTGTTCATGCACATATCTGGTTGTTTGCTCATCAGTGCATAAGTTTGATGTATTCATAAGTATTGGATTTCTTTACCCTACTTATGTCTGGTAAATTGCACAACCATATCATAATAAATTGTCTATCACCACCTTCACTGTGTTGTCACAAGTTGTATCATCTTGATCTGATCCACTTTTGTTTATTTTTCAATACTGATGATTTTAGGTTTCATTCTGACAGTAAAATTGAACTTTTGTGAGCATTGAGAGTGTGATGTGAAAACTGGAAGTGCGGGAAAGATAAATATGACTTCCAGTTTTCATATGAAATGCCTTAACACGCAAATCTGTGATATAATTGTCCGAAAGGAACAGAGAATGTTAATAATAATGCAGTTCAGTCGGGTAAATATGCCTTTTGTGTTATAGTATAAGCCATACTTGCTATGTAATGCTGTACGGAATACTAGAGACTTTGCATGCTGTAAGCCAGTGAAGCAGTATTTAAACTCATGACCTACTGCTTGACAGGAACAGAAACTTGACTTTTTCATGAATCTATCTTTCACTGACTAACAGTAGTTCCACACTTATTTGAAAAGCAATTTGATAATGTATTCTCATGTCTTGATTGAGGATTTAACTGGTAACAAGGTGCTAAGCGTTCAAAATCTGATTCAAGTAGGTGACAGTATATCAAACAGTTTTGGTTTTATGCTTTTCTCCTTATTCAAATAAATAAAGATTTTTGTTGTAATCTTACATTTCATCCTCTCAGAATTTACCATCTTCGTCAACACATGTACAGTCAACTAGTCGTGAATGGCGTGAACTGTCTGATTGGTCTGGTAAACGAGAGACAATTGTACAATCTAAAAGTCGTTCACCTAACTTTCAACCATCTCCTGATAGCCAGTGCTGGCGTACAGTAACATCTGTACAGATAAAAAATGAAAATATGCTTCCAGAACAGTCATCTTCGAACACTTGTTCATCAGGCACACAAGATGAAATGGAGTCCAGTGTTGGTTCACCAGGAATTTTCAATCGGGTGTGTAAAATTTTATTCTTTTCAGGGATGGGCAGTTAAATGAGTGTATTTTGTTAGCATTTTTCCTAATTTTATAAACTGTTGACCCAGTTTTATCTTTCTTATAGTTGATTTTAATCCCTTTCTCCTTTGATTGGTTTCCTTTGCCTACTTACACAAAGTATGATAACTACTAGTATTTCATTATTGTATTAAGTTGTAGATGGTTCTAACTGTATATATGTCCTGAAATTATTATTTTTTTACATTGTTCTTAGAATCAGTGTGATGTTGAGTCTAATAATCATGCAAAAATGTTTGGCAAAGGTGGAGGATTTTTAACAAATGCTTCTAGTTCCGGTGACCTAGACGATGGCGGAGTTGATGATGATCATGCTATCCACCAGACGCTTCCAAATGAAGATATTGAATCAAATACACATAGCGATGACCACGATGATAATGATGATGAGGATGTCGAGGATAATATTGATAATACTGATCATGATACAACTCTCCCTAGGGATAATGAAGAAACTGTGACTATTCCTTTGAATCACAATAATTGTAATGATGATAACAACAATTCAGTGACAATGATGATGATGATACATCGCACCTCACATTCCTACGTTAATGAATCTGAAGAGTTGTTCGCAGTGCACGAACAACAAGAGAGACAACGCCAACAACAACAGGAGAAGGTTGACTATCATCATCATCACCATCAGCAGCAACAACAACTGGATTCAAAACCTTCACACCTGGTGTCACCTAATGCTCTACAAGAACCGTGTGATTTTGAAGAAGGCTATCCTGAGTATCGTAAGCGAATTAGACATTTTTCAGTCTACACATTTATTGTTGAAGATTGAAAATTTCGTATCATTCAAGTGGTTTTGTTCTTAAAATATTCAGTTAACTGTAAAGTCCTCTATTCAGTATCTACAGAATACACAGTTTTATTCATTGTCTGAATATTCTGAGGTTGGTCTTCTATTCATCCTCTTGTTTCTACATTATCTGTAGCTCTCAGTATACTGGCAAACTAAATGCAAGTAGTCATGGATCATTGACTGACTATAATGTAAAACTATGCCAATTTTTGGTAGTAACCAGCAAGGAAATGCAACTCAGCAACCCACCACAGATTTATATACTAAGCTATGAGCCAGTATATCGGCGTAGAAAAATGCCTAGTTGTTCAGGCATTGAAATGTGCGTGCAGACAGAAGACCCTTCTACGACACATTTGGCGAGTGAAGCAGAACAGGCTGCTGATAGGAGAGACAGAGACCTGACAACATTATATCAAATAACCAGGTTACTATCTGGAAGGGAAGAGATCAACGCAGATGAAACGAATGAAGATAGTGAAGGAAAGGTAGTTACCGGTAAAGAGGAGAAACAAGAAAACAATGGGTTGACTGGTTGAAAAAGCTCTTGAATCGATCTCCACCATCACCACCAACTGCAACTCGTCCAGAAATACGAGCAGCAACGGCAGGATTACCAGTGAACACATGCCCTCTGACAAAAGCAGAAGTCGTAAATGCCACGCAATCATGTACTGATGTATAGAGAGTTGTCATGTGATTTGACGACAACTAGTGGTATCCGGCTACAATGTCCGCTATCACCGTTCTTATTCCACATTGTCATAAACATACTAATGGACATAACCTCAGGTATATCCGACTTCACAGGCAGGTATTGACATACTCCCGTACTTGGAGGTGATCTGGTTGACTTAGAGTATGCAGACGATATTGTTCAGCTAGTTGACGACGCTGACGCTATGCAGAGTGGTCTGAAGGCTTTGAGCAGAAACCTGAGTATGTTCGGCATGGGTTTCACTGGCAACTACGAAATGTAAGGTGATGCTCGAGGATTGGCCTGCTGAAAGTAATCTCAGTTTAATGGTTGGAAGTGAAGTGGTTGAATGCGTTGACACTCCACTTATACGTCTGTAAGACATGGCCGTTGAAAATAGAGAGCATGAAGGGATTACAAGGTTTTGATTATAGGTGTCTTAGTACGATGACTCGCGTTTGGTGTGATCACCATGTAATGAATGTCGAGGTGAGGTTAAAGATACTCGGTAAGATAGTCGAGTCGATTGATGTTGTTGTGAACCTTAGTTGATTGATTGGGATGTCTTGGACATGCGTTGCGCTTGCCGAGCCACCGCCCTTACGTTGACGTGGCCATGGTAGGGGAAGGTGGATAAGGGTTCAGAGTGTTTAGAGTGAAATACGTCACTAGTCGATAAAGCCTGTTCCTGTTGACTTGAATGGTGTGGGGGGAGATGCAGACTGCCTGGTTGAGGTGTTTCCGAGACTAAAGAAATCAGTGGTTGAGAACGCTTGGTGATATGGCTGAGAATAGGTCACAGTTGCGTAGATTTATTTACAGTTTGATGTCTTCTGAAGCTTGAATGTATGCACTAACCTTTATATTCAGATTGTTTATTCTCTGACATTACTGTGGTGGACGAGAAAACTGAGACGCGGGAAGGAATGTCTATTATTGTCATCTCGCACAACAGTCATCAAATATGGTATACCTTGCACTAAGACAGTCATTTGCACAGTGTGCCTCATTTCTTCTTCTGCTTCTATCTTGATTTGCTCTTAATACGCCCAGATTCTCTTGCTTTTCTCTGGACAGAATCCTTACCCATTGTTGGTAATTGTTTATGATTTCTGCCGCCCTCTCAACATATACTACTTATATCCATTATGATCGGTAGCCGTCGGTACACTTGTCCCCCCGTCAAAATTTCGGGTTTCCAGCCGTGTTGATAGTTTTGGTGCTGCCTTCTCATGGTGTTCATACGAAAGTTTCTAATTTTTCCCATCGTCGCCATTTTTGAAGTAGGCTGTCATTTACTCGTTCTCCCTTTTTGATGGAATAATCTGAACTGCGTCTCTCGGTAACCACTTACTGTCCTTCCCCTTTCCGGAGCAGTTTTCTTGTACCATATTCACCTCCTGACGTATATCCTCGTTCTCTACATTTCACTTGATCTCCGAACTCAAACGGTTTCCATTTACTTCCTCCTCCCTGCGTGGATTTTTCAACCTCAGGTTTTTGTTTTTGTTCCACATTTCTGATTGCCTGTTTCCGCTTCTTTCTCAATCTTGTCATGTTCCACGTCTGTTGTCGGGGCCAGGTCTTACTATGTATTAGGAGCCGTGGTTTCCTGCCATACATGAATTGGAACGACTACTTCTTGGTTGTTCCCTGTACAGAACCACTATGCCCCAATAATATAACTGCAGTTCCGTCTCCCAATTCTCTCCTTTCGACTCCAGCCACTCCTTAAGTGTACGGTTATTCCGTTCTGTCAAGCCGTTAATCTGCGGGTGGTACGGTGTCGTTCTTATTCTCTTGACATCGAGCTGCTCAAAACAAGGACGTTGGTCGGTCAATATCATCTTCTGCACATCGTGATTCGCGACAAAATGCCACACCACAGCTGCGGTCACCGTCTTCTCATGTTGATCAGGAATCGTGGCAGCGTCTACCCATCGTGTAGCATGCTCCGTCATCACTAACAGGTTTTGGTTTCCACTAGGTATATGGGTAAATGGTCCTGTTGCGTCCTCAGACCGCACCAACTGCTGCTACTGGAATTAGCTGAAACAGCGGTTGTGTATACTGATCACCTTTCATCAAGTGATAATGTGGACAGCCCAACAACATCTCTCGTACCTGGGCCAGTATGCTTTTTTTCTCCCACTTGTTGACAATAAACATTCCTTCCTTCGTACCTATCTTCTTGTTTCTTTCAGTAATATGAATTCACCTTCTTACGTAGTGTTCGTACTCTAGGTAGGTAGCTTATAGTTTGAATATTTAATAGGTGGTTCTTATGCTTATATTAGTGAAACGTGTGAACACGTATCCACTTATGTTCGGTTTCTGATGGAATGAAATAGGTTATGGTAATGAAATCTGTAAACCTTAACTATGCAATACAATTTCAACAACATTAGCACTTTTTATTTCCAACGCTAACATGAATAATTATTGTATAACAACAGGATATCAGTCAGTCCTTTAAATGTCAACATCTTCTGGAAGTGGAAGTAGACGTAATCGTTTGAATCTCACTCTTCCGAGTTCTGTTATCCAGCCACAAGATAACAGTTCACTATCAAGCAGAAATCCTGAAGAACATGGATCAAATTGTGAAATTCATCGATCCACAGAGAATATACAAGAATCAATGCAAAAAAATGAGAATTCTACAAGGGTCGCTCCGACGTTGAATAAATTAAATGATGGTAATTAATGAAATCGTCTGAGCCCCCCCAAACTTCTCAACAAACTAGCATCTATCGACCAACTGCTCATCATTCCCATCCTCATTCTGCGCATCGTAGAATCCCACCACCTTTAACAGACCTTCGTTTGTCTCCTAAGAAAACTCATGCACCGTCCACTGGTAACTTATTCAATCCAAAAGGGGATAGAAACAATGAAAATCGTTATTCAAACAGAATTAGCACTGGACCTGTTGATGTTGCTGAGGTGTAAGTCTAATTTATAAAGTGATTTTATTTTCTTGTTTTCCAATTTTCATTCACGTCAATTACTTGGTCTCAATATAGTGAAATACTTTACTGACTTCATACTTAAATATTCAAAGTATTGATACTGGGTGATGATTTTAGATGAAGTGAAATTTTAGACCGCGGCGGGATTTCAACCAACGACCACCGGGTTTCCGGCTCGGTGCTTTACTAACTGAGCTATGAGGTCCGTCTGCTGATCACATTTTTATTTCACTTCAATCACCAAGAGTTTTGCCTGACTGCTATAAGAATTCGTGACGCGTTACTACTGCTTGATCTTACTGACATTGGCTGCCTAGTCAGGACTTCTCATCCCAATTCAAATCTAACTGAAGTAGAGGGATGGGAGCATCATATTGATTATTATTTTGACTGGCGGTGGTAAAGCGTCACAAATTCACATTGTAGTCAGGCGAAACCCTTGGTGATTGAAGTGAAATAAAAATATGATCAGCAGACAGTTGATAGAGCACCGAGCCGGAAACCTGGTGGTCTCTGGTTCAAATACCGCCGTGGTCCGAATTTTCAATTCACTTGCAATACTAGGCTGTCAAACCACGACTTTCTCAGACAGTCAAACTGATAATAATCAAAGTATATCTGAAACACAACATATGTTATTCTGAGTTGCTATTCATTGGTTTGGGCACTTCCTACTCGAAGTGGATTACGAGTTTTAATCTAGTTCCACTCGCAGTAGTTTGATTAACTGTTTAGTGTTATAAACGTAGGACTCAGCTATTAAATAAATATGCGTTCTGCTTCTGAATGTTGTCATGTGTGTAAGGTTTTGTCCTTGTGATTAGTAGTTAACGCTTCACAATTGCTTTTGTCTAACAGCTTCACAGTTTCTTTGCCTCTTAAACAAACCTGTGCTCAGTGCACTACGTCATCATCATCATCAATATCAATGTAAGACTAGGCATTACTGCGTAACGGTCCGAGGTGCCACACCTCGTATCACTCTGTACATCAAGTAAAAAGCCAGTGAGGTGCAAGATGAAGATAAGAAAATTCAGTCAAAAGAAATATAAAGTGCTGAAAAAGAGAAAGGAAGAAAGAGAGAGAGCGGTGAGATTCGGTATAGCCTCATTAAGATGAGGATAATGTGTGTATGCATTTTCACCACTGACTTTGACTCTAAGCCACATCACCTGGAGTCTCCAACCACTGGTTTCTCTTGTCCCGCGGACTCCAACTGACTAGTCTGTATTGCCCCACATGGTTGAAACCAACAGTCAAAGACTTCATACGTTGATGGCATGTCTTAGTCTGACCACCTCGAGCCTTTTTGCAGGCTGGACCTACTTCGACCAACATTGTGTGACGAGGCAGACGGCGACTAGGCCTACGTAACACGTGTGGCAGCCAGGCAGGCAGGCAGGTAGCCAGCCAGCCATCTCAGTCGATGAAGGTTGAAACCGTGTCAACCGACTTACCTCTACTCCTGAGTTCTGCGTTACTCACTGGTGTGGTGACACCACGGAATACTGCGTATACTTCGAAGTTAACTGTGGTCAAACACCTGAAGTCAGCCTTCTCATGTGTTCCAAGTAAGTGAAGTGATTGACACATTCAACCACTACCCTCTCTATTGTTATCCGCTGCGGGACATTGTTGAAGACCAACCGTGGAGCAACAATTTGCATTTGGGTGGTGAGAAACGCATCCCAACCATTCTCAAATTGCCACTGAAAGTGTTCAGAAGACTCTGCATCTTGTGAGCGTCTTCACCCAACAGGACTATGTCGTCTGAGTGTTCTAGATCTAACTAAAATTTTCCTGTGATTAGGTCAACGTCTGTGTAGTCAGGTGACTAGAGGGTGACCTCCATGAGAATATGTGTGGTAAAATGAATAAGAATGGAGAGAGTGGGCATTGTTGACGGACACTACTCGATGAGCATAGCTTTGTGGACAACTCACTATAGGCTCTAACATGCCCACAAGTGTTTGAGTAGAGAGCTTTCAATAAGGTGACATACTTAAATGCACTACGTAATGTTTGAATTATTTCAGAATTCATTGTTTACACCAATCAGTCAATAGAAAGTGCAAATTAATAAGCTTAAATTAAAAGTGGATTCATTATCAAAGTGATGAAGACTTAATTAGTCAAATCGTTTTGTCAGTTTACTCACAACTTCACCGTGTTGAAATTTACTGTGAGATATATGTACACCAAATAGACTAAATTAAAAACAGTAGAACCACTTTTTAGAAGTAGATGTGCGTTATATATTATGTTATGTTCAGAACACGTCAAATAGTCAACTGACTAAATCAGTTTTTAGCCTGGCTCATGAAATCTCCAATTTTGTATTATTACTTGTAAGTCTGCATCATGAAGCATAACCTTCCGTTACACGATTCTGGTCAACATTACATGGCTAAATCAGATAACACTTTCTAAATTTCTGTTTTTACTTCAGGCAACATTATCTTCCAAATGGAAACAGGAATGGTGTGCTTTGAAAGAGTTCTAACTTATGTTAATTGACACGCTTGTGTATAGCATTTCCGCACATTTGTACTGATGCTGGTGCATAGCTTCACACAAATGTTTCTTAAACAAAAACTAAAGTTTGAATAGCTATTCTGTGGTTGATATGTGCCGTTTTTACTTCAGCATCGAGTGCTTCATGGGAACTATTTAGCGAAGATCTCACAGTTACTGCACCTGGTGAGAAATTTCACGGCTGTTAGTCATATCGAAATTAACTGCACATATGTACATGACAAGCACCAATGGACATAACTCTGTAGACTTTGAGTAATAAAAGCATAACATTAATCTTTCTCTTCCTAATGTTTAGATAATGTGGGAAGTTTCTAAGTCAGTATTTTCTGGTGCATTTATGTAATTAAGTATTGTTGCGTGCTTACACCACGTTTCTTCGCTTCCGCTGCCTGACTACTAATGCTGTGTTACCTTTGGAATTAGGGTCCAGTGTGAGTGGTTACAGTTTTCAGTCATTATCATTCATGGCATCAAGAATAATTGAGAGAACATTTTTTTTCTTCTGACTTCTTTAATGCTTTTCATATGTATTCTGATACATATGTTTTTGGATAGTCGAGTGGATCCTTGCTTGCCTATATTTGACGCAATAAAGGTTCATACTTAACCTGTTACACGATGTATGCATGTGTGTGGGTGGGAGATAGTTGGCATTAATTCGAAGATATACTGAGTATCAGCAGCTGAGTAAAGACAAACTGATTCTTAAATGTGTATAAATGACCGACAATTGTCTATTATGCCTAAATCCACTATAAATGGACAGAAGATCATCTATGTATGATTCATATTTGTTATTTAATTTGGAATTGTGACTGCAACATATATCTAAGGCTTATTTATCCGTGGAGTTTACTTGTGATTTTTTTTCACGACACTCCACTTACTGAGGTTCGAATGGTCAAGTAATGTCATTATTTCTTACACAATAGGTTTGATTCATTGCCTAGTGCATTAACATGCGTATAGTCCAAATAATGACTTAATTATCGGTGTTTACACTACTAGTTTAACAGCGTTTCACTCCCACCACATTCTTTGCATGAAGAGGCTAAACAAAATCTGTCGATTGACCAGTCAGTTAATATCAACGTCAACCCTGACATTGCTGCCTAACAGTCTGTGTTCCCATGCCTCATGTCAGCACATCAAGTTATGAAGTAGCAAAATGAAAGACAAAGAAAGAAAAGCTTACACCAATAATCACTGACTCCATGGGCTGACACGATGTTTCAGTTTGACTGTCCTAACTCTTTTTCCAATCTGTCTGCGTTACAAGAGACAGTAACTGGACATTGTGATAATTCATTGAAGTTGGTCTTGAACCTGTAACCTGGCGCTTGTACCGTAAACGTCTATCCTATATAATCTTGTCGAATTATTTCCTTACAACCCAGAATACATAGTCCATTTCACTTGTAAAGTAAAATTAATCAATAATTCGCTCAGTAATTCGGCGCATAGCTAGCCTGTAGGCTTTCAAATCTACGGCTTCAAGGTGAATGTGTCACAGGTAAAACCGACTTTTTAAGTAATGAGTAGTAAGTGCCAAATCCTCTGTTTCTACCAAGCTTGTTGCAACCCTCATACTTTAGGTATTGTGGACTATTCAGAAAAGAATTTAATGGAACAGAATTTCCCTTTTCGAAAAGTATTTTCGCTGATTATCATATATTTAGATGAGATTCCAGATATCGCATAAACTGGCTTCTTCTTGTAAACTGAAGTGGAATAAGGTGCTGCATTCAACTAGCTAGTGAACATCCCATTAAACAAGCTTTATGACCAAAAAAAACGCATTTTTATCGCAATCGACTTGGTTAATCATGTATATTTATATTACCTTAATTGTATTCGGTAGATTTTCGTTTTTATGAACTTTATTATTTATATCATAGCGATAATGTATAACTACTCAAAAACTACCAATACATATTTGTTCATATCATTCTCTCTTACATATATATCTCTCTGACGTATATTTATATTTTATACCTTTGGAAAAACTAGTTTGAAACAATTAGAAATTCAAGATTTAGACGATAATCAACGACGTCGTTTAAGTGCATTTGTAGCAGATAAACAAAAAATTGGTGAATTACGTCCAGAAGATTTTGAAAAGCTAAGTGAAATAGGCAAAGGTAATGGTGGTGTCGTCAGTCGTGTACGTCATACAGCTACTGGTTTAATTATGGCAAAGAAAAATATCCACTTGGAAATAAAACCAATTGTTAAAACACAAATTATTCGTGAACTTCAAGTAAATTGTGTAGAAATTTTCAGTGTTTCAATAATTTTTTTTATCACTTTGAATTCAGTGTTGAGTTTTTTTTTCACTTAAACATTCTTTATTGTTATTGCCTGCTGATAGTCTCATTAATCAAATGCATTATCATATTTGAGTTTGATTTCAAACCGAGGTTACACATTCAGCTGTAATCATTACTTCTGTTGAAAATAAAGTTTTCAGTCGTTGCCTCATTTAGGTTTCATAGTTATATCAAGAGAATGCAACTATGGGATAATAAACGGTTTAAAAAGTTATCCACTGACTAATATTTTCATAGTTTTATCCTCATATGGATTCTTGCCTCCGACAACAACGTGTCGTTTTCCTGAACATTACAAATGTCTTATATGACTACGCATAAACGCAAAAGCTATTTCAGTCGTTTTGTTTCGATTATTTGGGAACATTTATCAAAATTCTTTTGTTTACCACTGACATCACAGATTTGCATCTTGGGAATCACTTACAGTATCGTGTACTGGCTCATGAGCCATATCGATTACATGATGACAGCTAATTATGCTATCTGACCTCACGAAGAGCAGTACCATGTGACTTATTACGTGGGAGTGAAATGTGGCTAAGCCGACGCATTTCAATCAGTGTTAAGGTCAGGCGAAGAGTACTAGACAAGACAGACAAGCTGATTGATAAAGTTGTGAACGTTCACCGAGCCACCTACGTTGACGTCCAATGTTACAAAAAGTTGGACTAGGCTGGAAGAGAGTTAAGAGTGGTCAGACGAAGACACAGCACCAGTCGATGAAGTCCCTGACGTTTGGTCTAAGCCTCGTGGGGAGATGAAGACTCCCCGGTTGGGGTCCTCAAGATGATAGGAATCAGTAGTTAAGGACTGTTGGTGACATGGCTGAAAATCGGTCGCAATAGAGCAGATGTGTTGAATCCTTGACGTCTTCTGAGACTTGAATATTCACACTGACCTTTATCTTCGAATTGTTTGTTCTCTCACTCTTATTCTATCCACCTGTTGTTTGTGTACTACTTTGAAGTGTGGCAACTTAAACCGATGCATTTGTGTTTGAAGCTCTACCTTTATTTTATCTGTTTTTATGTTTCAAGAATATAAAAAAGGATCATCTTCAACCATATCGGGCTATCATTTGTCTTTCAAAGAAGTTGTGAAAGCAATAAAAATAACTGGAAGATGATTTCATAGGCCCATCCATCCATCCAAATCAACATAGGACCAGGCATTACTGCAAAACGGTCCGAGGTGCCACACCTCATATCAACCAGGACATCAAGTAGAAAGGTAGTGAGTTGCAAGATGAAGATAAGAAAATTCAGTCAAAAGAAATATAAAGTGCTGAAAAAGAGAAAGGAAGAAAGAGAGAGAGCGGTGAGATTCGGTATAGCCTCATTAAGATGAGGATAATGTGTGTATGCATTTTCACCACTGACTTTGACTCTAAGCCACATCACCTGGAGTCTCCAACCACTGGTTTCTCTTGTCCCGCGGACTCCAACTGACTAGTCTGTATTGCCCCACATGGTTGAAACCAACAGTCAAAGACTTCATACGTTGATGGCATGTCTTAGTCTGACCACCTCGAGCCTTTTTGCAGGCTGGACCTACTTCGACCAACATTGTGTGACGAGGCAGACGGCGACTAGGCCTACGTAACACGTGTGGCAGCCAGGCAGGCAGGCAGGTAGCCAGCCAGCCATCTCAGTCGATGAAGGTTGAAACCGTGTCAACCGACTTACCTCTACTCCTGAGTCCTGCGTTACTCACTGGTGTGGTGACACCACGGAATACTGCGTATACTTCGAAGTTAACTGTGGTCAAACACCTGAAGTCAGCCTTCTCATGTGTTCCACCTTGAATGGCCATGTTTCACAGTCATGGAGTATAACAGAGCGAAGTGCTGTGCAGTACACGCGACTCTTAGTATACAATTGGATGTCACGGCGGTGCCATAGGTCAAAACACTCAGGCATTACACTCTCTCCGTCAGCACTCAAGTTTCTTTTCCTCACATGTCTGCATCTTCTGTGTGACGCGAGATTAGGAATCGGTGATCTCATCGGTTTTAAGATCGCCAATAGGACAGCTTAGAATTCTTTACAATCAGATAATTTCTGCATGGATGCCACATCTTGATGTGTGATCATTCTAAAGTTTCTTTATACCAATGGCATTATTACATTTCATGAAAAAGGCTATTCAGGGATATACGACACTTTTAGAATTGGAACACTGTTATTCACTAAGTTCAAAATAGATGACCAAACTTGTGTATGAAGTACATTATCACATTTTATGCACATATCATAATGATAAAACACTTGCCAACAAAGTTAATAATAATCATAATAACAATCAAGAGTGTTGAAATCATTACCACAATTGTTTTTGTAATGCATGCATAAAAGAAAAAAGAAATTACTTTATGATTACTTCAAGCGTTTATCGATCAATCTGCTATAGCATATAGTGCATATCAGATGATTTTATTGCTGATAACAGAAAACTATTAACTCTTTTCACCTAAACCAGTGTCAATCAGTAAATCAAACAATAAATGAATATATGATTCCAGAAATATTGTTCACTACCTTATTGTTTGGTGAGTAGTACCTATACTATATGATGATCAGTATACATGATTCGGAGCTATTTCTTTTTGACAAGGGTTACTAAAAGTCATTAACCTATGCAGAGACTTTAATTCATTACGTGACATTAATCGGTGTCCAGGTCGATAGCTGCTACCCTGACTTTGTGATCGGGTTTGTATATCACTATGGTCCGAAAGGCTACACTTGCTGAAACGCTTGTACCCTCCACGTCCTACCATCCCAGAAAAGTATTTTGGGTGGTGGTGAAACATTGTGAATCTCTACACTGTAAATGGGGTCCGAGGGCGAAGTCGACCTGCTGATTGGATAGGGGTTTGACAGCAGTAGGATGCTTTTCTTGAATGAACAGCAATGCCACGCTGATTCTGTCTTCCTTATAGAAAGGTGATTAAAAAAGACTTGCCCAAAATCTTCCTATCCGATGGTACGGCATTTTCTCTCCCCAGCGTAACATCTTTTATATCTCACTGTAATAATCCCGAAAAGGCAATGCTTGAAGGGTCTCAACAAGATGTTCGATGGGCTCTGCAGTCACACAAATCGTTTTTCTTTCAGATACCATTGGAGGAAATAACCTACTACGGTTTGGGTAGCTGAAAAATGTCAATCGCCAGCGCGCTTCCACTAGCGTACAAGCTGAAATCAAATATAACCTGCGCTTTCTACTTCTATCTCCTTTTTCTTCACCTGATGCTAATATTAAACCTCTTCCTAGCCTTCTCACTCTTCGACGATCGCCAGAGCTCAAATTCATCTAAACCTTATTCCTAGTTTCCTAAGGCCCCACACCGATGACCATTGACATTAGATGGCAAGAGACCCGACAGATAGCTGGTACCTTAACTTAGCAGTCAGGCTTGCATATCACAATGACCCAACGAGCTATGCTGCTGGAATACTTGTTAACTTGAGGTCCAGCCGTGCTACAAAGGTATGTAGACTAGTGGTCAGACAATAAGCAGCTACCATTGAAGTGTATTTTGCTACGATATAATAGCAGTCTGAGAGAGATTCGTACTGCTGTTAGCTGGATGGGGTGTGACAGCAGTAAGGTGTTTCTCTTAGATGACCAGCAGTGCCATGCTGGCGCTACCTTCCCAACAGGAAGAGGGTGTAGAAAATGTCGGCCTCAGAAAAACCACACTCCGCCTTACCCCACGGTCTCCTATTGCCGGTGGTACGGGTTCTGTCTATCCTGTGTTAGAACAATCAAAACTAAAAACAATATCCTACAAAAAAGTTGTATGTAACACACCATAAAAGGATGTCTCCTGGACTCTTCGGTCACATAAATCCTATTTCTTTTAGGTACCTTAAGATGAAATAGCCTTCTACAGTGCGGGTAGTTAAGAAGTGTCAACCGCCCACACGCTTACGATATTAAGCCAAACACAATCAAACATAAACTATCCTACAAAAATTTGTCTCCTCCCTTGTCTTTACCTTTTCATACTAATATTAAGCCCCTTGCATCTTTCAAAACCTCTCATTCTACGACTACTGCCAGAGATCAAATTCATCAAAACCTCATTCCTGTAGGAGCTTTCAACGTTCAAACTCTACGCCAAATCGGACAAAAATGATCGCTTACCAAAACTCTAGAATCTCTAGCCATAGATTCCACACTGTCTCTGAGACACACCTATACAGACAGGATCCGAGTGTAGTTATGAAAATTGACCTCATCTGACCAGTGTAGTGAATCTTAAGAATCCACCTTACGAGTATCCGGAGACCCAATAACTAGCTGTCGTGGTCTCACTGGTGAAGGCATAGCACTGAGTCGTAGGGATCGATACCAGTCAATAGTCACCTGTGTGCTGTGCGACTGAATGGATGTGTAAGGACTCAGAAGGATCATGAGACCGACCTATAACTACTCGTAATCTCCACCTACACACCCACCGATTGCAGTTCAGATGATGCAGAGAATGGATCCCATGCAAAGTTGTCAACCTTGCTACACGAAGGGAAATGTTCAGATATAGTCATAATGTCAGGTGACTTTAATGGTCAAGTAGGAAAGCTGAGCTGAGCCAATCGGTAAGGCATCTTGTGAATATTTACAGAATCCTATGCCAACAAACTGACAACGGTGATGGACTGTTGCAATTTTACAGTGATAATCACACTTGTTTCTGGTTAGCACTAACTTTAGGCATAAAGAGAGACACTGTCTCATGGCGTCCGCCGACATCAAACCAACGATGGACACAGATTGATAATATTGCTGTAATCCATCGTTGGAGAGGATCAGTGGAGGATTGTCACTCTTTCAGGAACACCTATTTGGACTCCGTTGACACGTTAGTAAAGGCTTGTGTGTGTCTGCGACTTACTAGTCGCAGGAAACAGGAGATAGTGAAGTTTTTCTATGGATGATAAGAAGATGAGGACATCTAGTGAGTATTTAGATAGGTGTTGAAGCATTTGTCTGAACGTGACTGCAGTATTCATCCTGAGGAAACCTAGCGTCATATTAGGTTGGATGTAGAAACAGAAACAAGGATAGTTGGTAACCTATATCCAAAGGTTAGCAAACACCTTTGGATTTCCTCAACATTATCCGAACCGACTGATACGAGTATACTGATTCCAGTTGGGTGCGACCATGATGAGGAGCTAAAGCAACTAAAACGTCAGTTGACCAAGAATCTTCAGCGGCCATCGCGAGCAGTGGTTAGTGGTGAAAGCTAGACAGATGGTGAAAGCATCAGTATTATGAAACACCCAGAAAACTAATGAGCCTCATCAAAGACATCGGCAACAAGAAGACGATGGTTAGTAAAACCATCACCTTCAGGTCGAGAAATGCAGCTAGTATCGGGCGCCGGTAAACGTGTCTGTGTTGCAAAACCTGGCTCAAGATGAATATTTGGTCGATACATCCGCAACTGGGTCTGAAGCCTGCTTGGTTTTCTGGGGCTTGTTGTACTCGAGCTCCACTCAGGCGTCGAAGAATTATGATACCTAGGATCTTGGACGCTATATTCATGGGGCTGATTTTTCTGTGGTTATCACAAGAGGACTTCTCGCCTTTCTTGAAGACTGGGATAATCGGCGATTTAGATCAGTCATAGGGGATCGTATTTGATTTCCATATACTAGTTACCACTTCCGTTAACCTGACTAAGAGCACTGTGTCACCATCCTTGTATACCTCAGGGGTTAGTCTGTATGGTCCTGCCACCCATCTTCTTTTCAAGTGAACTACAGCTTTCTCGGTTTCGGTAAGTGTCGGGGGCCTATCTCAATGTTCCATTCAGGGTCTGACTGGATATCGGGCAACGGAATGATGTCTGGAGGCCAGTTAAGCTGTTCTTCAGAGTGTTCTGCCCATCGTTCCAGTTTTCTCTTTTGCAAACGACACGCAGATCCGTCCTACTCCGCTATAGCCTCATTAACTACAGTTGACCTTTTCCCCCCAGTTTCCTCAATAAATCTAAATAACTGTCTACTGTTACCAATCGCCGCCACCTTTTCCATCCGTTTAGCCTTCGCTGCCCACCACTGTTTGCGGTCGCTGTATAGACTTTTCATCAACCTACTCTTAAGTTGCGCCCGCTCTTCATTTTACTCACAGCCTGCAGACAGGGATGCGTTCACGTGTGTCCTTTAGTTTGGAAGAAGCTGCTGATATCCGCCGACCGTTTTTTAGCCACTATTTTGGATTTGGCTACGGTCTCCAGCGCTGCTTTTACAGCAGACTGAAGATGGTACCAAGCTTATTCTGGATGAGTGATAGTCTTCTGTTCCGATAACTGCCTAGCCAACTTGTCACTGAACACGGCTTCGGTGTTTTCATTGTCGAGTTGCACTCGTAATTGTCATGTTGCTAAGGTCTTCCTATGTCCATTGAGACTCAGATAAGTACACGCTCGGACCAAGGCGTGGTGGCTATCGAAACACGTGTTCCAAAATGAGCGGCAGTTTTCCACGGATCCTTCCCAGCGATGACTGATAGCAATGCAGTCTATCTGTGTCCATCGCTGAGTTGAGCTCGGTGGACGCCAAATGAGACAGTGTCTTTCTTTGTGTGTGAAGTTTGTGCTGAGCACAATTGTATGTAGTATGTGATCACGGTTATCTGTATGTTCAGTTGGGATTCCGAAAGTGCCACCCAAGTGCCTTTCTGCCTCACTCGGTCTCCTCACCTGTGCATTGAAATCACCTGCAACAACCACTACGTCCGAACGTTTGGCTTTCGAGAGGAGGTTAGACAGTTTTCGGTAGAACTCGTCCTTTACTTCATCCGAGCTGCAGTCAGTGGGTGCGTAAGCAGAGATTACAATGAAGAGACAACGGCGAGTCTCACTATTCCTTTTAGTTCTCACTATGCCGTTCAGCCTCATAGCGCAGAGGCGACTATCAACTGGGATCCAGTCTAGTAGTGAGTTTTCCGCCCTGGTGCTTAATGCTATACCTACACCTGCAAGACCACGAGAGCTAGCTATGGAATCTCCAGAAAGTCAAAGGGTGAATTTTGCGGATTGACCAGATTGGTGAGGAGAAGTCAGGTGAATAACCACACTTGGGTCCTGTATGCTTGTCTCACAAACACAGCACACATCCGTTGTTCGAGTTGCTAGAGTCTTGATGAATGAAGCCTGTTGACCAATTTGATGGATGGTGTGGACGTCGAAGACCTCGATGAGTAACCTGGTGCTTGGTTTACGGAGATCAAGGATGCTGTTCTGTGGACTCAGATGGTTGTCGAAGGTTGGGGAGCTAGGATAAATTGAAGATGATGTAGGATTGTTAAGTGGGAGACATGAAGTAAGATTAGAAGTTAATGATGAGGAAGGTGGATAGCATTTTGAGGAAACTTGAGTGTTGATCGAGTTGTGAGGGTGGTTGACACTTCCCAACTGCCCACACCGTGGAAGGGTATTTCTTCTTAAGGTACCTGAAAGCGATTTGTGTGACTGAAGAGTCCATCGGACATCTACTTGAGAGCTGTCACTCGCTGCCTTTTGTGTATGATTATTTTGAAGTTTTGTTGTTTTGGGGCGGGATGGTCGAAAAGAAACGACAAATGAACCAACACCGCTGACCCTGGCAGAACTTGGGGCGTGGTGGAGTGTGTTATTTTTGTGGCCGACATTTTCTAACCCACCCCTCTTCCAATGAGAAGGCAGCATCAGCATGGCACTGCTGGTCATCCAAGGGAAACACCTTACTGCTGTCAGATCCCATGCAGCTAACAGCCGTACGACTTCACCTTCAGACCCCCATTATAGTGTAGTAATTTACACGACAACGGTAACTGCTTTTCGTGTAACCACTTTCCAAGAGACCTTTGTGGTATGGTAGGACGTTGAGGGAAGAAGTGTTCCGCCAGCATAGCTTGTTGGGTCAACTTGATATGCAAGGTTTAGCACGACGTCTAGGTAGCAGCTATCGGTGTACCAGGTTTCTGTTCTTAATTGATGGCCAAATAACAGGAGTTATCCTCGACCTGACTGGGACATGACTGAGGTACACTACTTCAACCTAGAACATTTTAGTGAGATATGACTGCTTTAACGAAAACAATTAAAGGATACCATAATCACAGTTATTATTCATGTATGTGTGTGCTTACCAGTTTAAACACAAGCACTTGAACACTGAGTTGAAAATACTGGAAGAGAAAGGCTTAAAACCAGCAGATTCTTTTTAAACCTAATGTTTTTTTTTCTCGATAAAGAGAATGCTTGTTTCCACTTATTTAGTCGTTCAACTCTGTTTTCATCTTCTTTCTATACTGTCGTTCGCTAATTTCAGGTACTGCATGATTGTAATTCACCATATATTGTTGGTTATTATGGTGCATTTTTCGCTGATGGTGATATTAGCCTATGCATGGAGTATATGGATGGTGGAAGTTTAGATATTGTCCTATTGCATGCTGGTCGTATACCTGAGCCGATTGTCGCTAAAATACTTTATTCAGTAATACGTGGTCTGGTTTATCTGCGTGAAGCTCTACATATTATTCATAGGTTAGTTTGTTATAATCATCTACGCTTTCTGTGTCTGTGCATGTAAAACTCTTCATTTGAAAACTATACATCATAACTGATTCAGTGGTTGTTTCTGCTATCTAAAAAGTGGATTAACAAAGGAGAGGGTAACTGTGATTTCGATGCAGCATGGAGGGTATAGTATGATAATGATCCAAACCATATGAAATAAATATTATCAGGTGAAGTTTCAACTGTCTAACAACCTATGTGGTGTTTGCATTATGGCCTCAGCTAGAGGCAATGTAATCTATTGCTAACGATATCACTAGGGCATCAAGTGATGGAAAAAGAACAGGGATAGCCAAAAATGTATATGACTCTTAAACGGGAAGAACATTGATAAAATACGCTGCTGATGTAAGCTATTTTCTATACAAATTAAGCATGTGATAAATAGATATGAATTTCTGGTAGCGTAAGTTAACTAAGAGTCTTCGCAGCGATCCTGAACAATGGTGGGTGGCGAAGACATCGACAACAAGAAGACGATAGTTAGTAAAACCGTCACCGAAAAAAATGGAACGCTAACAACCTGCTAGAACAGGTGGGTAGAACGTCGTGCGGAACACATTACAACATGGTTCAACTGGCTCTCAGCAACGCTTCATTTGCCCAATATTCACAGCCTGAACCTAAATGCCAAACAGATGTCAGTCCTCCAACTGTCTTTGAATTTGAGAAAGATGTGTCGAACGTGAAACGAAACAAGGCAGCAAAACCTGATGATTTGCCACTCGAAGTTTTTGTGGGTGAAGCTAAGAAATTGCTGTTTAGAGTGACTCAGATACTAGTTAGTGTATGTAAATCACAGATAGTGCTATCAGACTGGTCTACTACACTGATCATCTCACTCTATGAGAAAGGGGGAGAAGTCTTCTTGTGACAACTATAGAGAAATCATCTTGACTAGTATTGTATCCAAGATCCTAGGGTTCGTAGCTATCCGACGCCTTACTAGAACTGGAGTACATCAAACTCGAAAAAAACCAGTCAGGTTTCAGACCTGGTCGAGGGTGCGTTGGCCAAATCGTCACCCTTCTGCGGGCTACGAAACTCTGGTACTCTTGCTAGCGTTAAGTTAAAGGAGTGTCGAGCAAGTAAATAACGCTGATCAAAGCTCTCTACTCTAACTCACACAAGTGTGTAATTGCTTGTGGAGAGCTGTCAGATGAGTTGACGTCAGCTAGTGGTATTCGCCAGGGATACCTACAGTTACCGTTTCTGTTTCTGTTTCTGACCTGCTTCAACCTTTCAAAGGTAATCGATCACCTCAACTATTTGAATAAATGGCTTTTCAAAGTGTGAATACTAGTCAGTTGTATTTGGCTTGTTGGATGGTGTATGCTTTACCTTTCCTGAACTTTGTTCGACATAGTTTTCTCAAATTCAAAGAGAGTTGGAGTACTGATATCTATTTGACATTTAGATCCAGGCCGTGACTTTGGGCAAGTGAAGCGTTGTTGTGGGCCAGTTGAACTGTGTTGCAATGTGTTCCGCACGACGTTCTAGCCACCTGTTCTGGTAGGTTATTAGGGTTTCATTTTTTCTCGGTGATGGCTTTACTAACCATCGTCTTCTTGTTGCCGATGTCTTTGATGAGGCTCATTAGTTTTCTGGGTGTTTCATAATACTGATGCTTTCACCATCTGTCTAGCTTTCACCACTAACCACTGCTCGCGATGGCCGCTGAAGATTCTTGGTCAACTGACGTTTTAGTTGCTTTAGCTCCTCATCATGGTCGCACCCAACTGGAATCAGTATACTCGTATCAGTCGGTTCGGATAATGTTGAGGAAATCCAAAGGTGTTTGCTAACTTTTGGATATAGGTTACCAACTATCCTTGTTTCTGTTTCTACATCCAACCTAATATGACGCTAGGTTTCCTCAGGATGAATACTGCAGTCACGTTCAGACAAATGCTTCAACACCTATCTAAATACTCACTAGATGTCCTCATCTTCCTATCATCCATAGAAAAACTTCACTATCTCCTGTTTCCTGCGACTAGTAAGTCGCAGACACACACAAGCCTTTACTAACGTGTCAACGGAGTCCAAATAGGTGTTCCTGAAAGAGTGACAATCCTCCACTGATCCTCTCCAACGATGGATTACAGCAATATTATCAATCTGTGTCCATCGTTGGTTTGATGTCGGCGGACGCCATGAGACAGTGTCTCTCTTTATGCCTAAAGTTAGTGCTAACCAGAAACAAGTGTGATTATCACTGTAAAATTGCAACAGTCCATCACCGTTGTCAGTTTGTTGGCATAGGATTCTGTAAATATTCACAAGATGCCTTACCGATTGGCTCAGCTCAGCTTTCCTACTTGACCATTAAAGTCACCTGACATTATGACTATATCTGAACATTTCCCTTCGTGTAGCAAGGTTGACAACTTTGCATGGGATCCATTCTCTGCATCATCTGAACTGCAATCGGTGGGTGTGTAGGTGGAGATTACGAGTAGTTATAGGTCGGTCTCATGATCCTTCTGAGTCCTTACACATCCATTCAGTCGCACAGCACACAGGTGACTATTGACTGGTATCGATCCCTACGACTCAGTGCTATGCCTTCACCAGTGAGACCACGACAGCTAGTTATTGGGTCTCCGGATACTCGTAAGGTGGATTCTTAAGATTCACTACACTGGTCAGATGAGGTCAATTTTCATAACTACACTCGGATCCTGTCTGTATAGGTGTGTCTCAGAGACAGTGTGGAATCTATGGCTAGAGATTCTAGAGTTTTGGTAAGCGATCATTTTTGTCCGATTTGGCGTAGAGTTTGAACGTTGAAAGCTCCTACATGAAATCGATGTGGTGTCTTAAGAGACTAGGAATGAGGTTTTGATGAATTTGATCTCTGGCAGTAGTCGTAGAATGAGAGGTTTTGAAAGATGCAAGGGGCTTAATATTAGTATGAAAAGGTAAAGACAAGGGAGGAGACAAATTTTTGTAGGATAGTTTATGTTTGATTGTGTTTGGCTTAATATCGTAAGCGTGTGGGCGGTTGACACTTCTTAACTACCCGCACTGTAGAAGGCTATTTCATCTTAAGGTACCTAAAAGAAATAGGATTTATGTGACCGAAGAGTCCAGGAGACATCCTTTTATGGTGTGTTACATACAACTTTTTTGTAGGATATTGTTTTTAGTTTTGATTGTTCTAACACAGGATAGACAGAACCCGTACCACCGGCAATAGGAGACCGTGGGGTAAGGCGGAGTGTGGTTTTTCTGAGGCCGACATTTTCTACACCCTCTTCCTGTTGGGAAGGTAGCGCCAGCATGGCACTGCTGGTCATCTAAGAGAAACACCTTACTGCTGTCACACCCCATCCAGCTAACAGCAGTACGAATCTCTCTCAGACTGCTATTATATCGTAGCAAAATACACTTCAATGGTAGCTGCTTATTGTCTGACCACTAGTCTACATACCTTTGTAGCACGGCTGGACCTCAAGTTAACAAGTATTCCAGCAGCATAGCTCGTTGGGTCATTGTGATATGCAAGCCTGACTGCTAAGTTAAGGTACCAGCTATCTGTCGGGTCTCTTGCCATCTAATGTCAATGGTCATTTTTCGCAGCAGTGTAGTACGATGAAACATACTCCAGTGCAGTACGCTTATCCTTTAGTAGATATTCGGAGATCTCGGCATTCGGCACCAGAGATGATGCTAGTTTGCGAACGTCAAATCTGCTTTGTGTTTCGTAGCTGAAATTTCGTCAGCAGCCGGCCTGTTCGGGTTGATTCGACTGCTCAAGTGAAATAGTCAACGCTTGCTACCAATTCACACTATGCCTAAGACGGGAGTAGTTGCAAACCAGTCCTTTTACTTTATCTATCATTCATTCGTCAGATCGGAAACGCATAAAAGGGATACTTAGATTTCTGCTCAAATCATTCAGAAGATCCTGCATTTTGTCAGTGTCTTCACCCAGCTGCCAAATAACAAACCGGTCTTTTGTATCCGAAATCAAGTTTTTTCAGCCAACAATCCATTTAGGTTCATCATCATCATCATCATTATCAACATAGGACCAGGCATTACTGCGTAACGGTCCGAGTTGCCACACCTCATATCAGCACATCAAGTAAAAAGGTAGTGAGGTGAAGGATGAAGATAAGTGAATGCAGTCAAAAGAAATATAAAGTACGAGAAGAAAGGAAAGAGGAGTGACAAAATAGTGAGATTCGGTATAGCGTTGTTAAGATGAGGATAATGTGTGTATACATCTGCGCCACTGACTTCGGTTCTGAGCCATATCACCTAGGGTCTCCAACCACTGGTTCCTCTTGTCCCGTGGACCCCAACCACCTAGTCTGCATCGTCCTACATGGCTTAAACCAACAGTCAGAGACTTCATACATTGGTGCCATGTTTTAGTCTGGCCACCTCGGGCCTTTTTCCAGCCTGAACCCACCTCAGCCAACATTGTGTGACGAGGCAATCGGTGACTAGGCATACGTAGTACGTGTCCCAACCATCTCAGTCGATGAAGGTTCACAACCTCGTCGACTGACTTACCTCTTCTCCCCAAAACTCTACACCTAACTTCTGCATTACTCACATGGTGACACCACGGAATACGTCCTATACTACGAAGGCAACGGTGGTCAAACACCTGAACCTTTTTGTGTCTTCCACTTTCAATGGCCATGTTTCACAGCCATACAGTAGAACAGAGCGGACTGCTGTGCAGTACACGCGACCCTTAATAGACAAACGAATATCACGGCGGCGCCATAGGTGGCGCAAATTGGCAAAAGCCAATCGAGCCTTTTGTATCCGTGCAGAAATCTCATCGGCAACTAACCCACCGGGTTGATCCTACTTCCCAGGTAAGTGAAGTGGTCAACACACTCAACCACTTCACTCTCTATTGTTAACCGCGGTACCGCTGAAGACCAGTCCTGGAGCAAAAATTTGCATTTGGGTGGTGAAAATCGCATCCCAAACATTCTCAAATTCCCACTCAAAGTGTTCAGAAGACTCTGCATCTTGTCAGCGTCTTCACCTAACAGGACTATGTCATCTGCATATTCTAGATCTAAGGAAAATTCACCTGTGATCGGTCAACGTCTTTGTAATTAGGTGACGAGAGGGAAACCTCCATAAGAATATCTATGATAAAATTAAATAAGAATGGGGATAGTGGGCATCCTTGACGGACACCACTTGATGAGTATAGCTCCCTGGACAACTCACCATAGGCTCTAACATGCCCACAAGTGTTCGAGTAGAGAGCTTTCAATAAGGTGATGTACTTACTAGGCACGCCTTTCAGTGACAGACACTGCCATAAGACTTCTCGATCAACGGAGTCAAATGCCGCCTTCAGGTCGAGAAATACAGCTATTGTCGGGCGTCTGTAAGCATGCCTATGTTCCAGGACCTGGCGCAGTGTGAATATTTGGTCGATACATCCACGGCCAGGTCTAAAGCCTGCCTGGTTTTCTCGGGCTTGCTGTTCCCGAGCTCCACTCAGGCGTCGGAGAATTATAGAACTTAGGATCTTAGACACTATGTTTGTCAGGCTGATTCCTCTGTGGTTATCACAAGAGGACTTCTCGCCTTTCTTGAAGACTGGGATGATGAGTGACTTAGACCAGTCGGAGGGGATCGTATTTGATTCCCATATACTGGCTAACACTTCCGTTAGCCTGACTAAGAGAACTCTACCACCATTCTTGTATACCTCAGCAGGTAGTCCGTCTGGTCCTGCTGCCCTTCCCCGTTTCAGGCTACCTACCGCTTTCTCAACTTCTTCTAGTGTTGGGGGACCTGTCTCTATGTCCCATTCAGGGTCCGACTGGATAGCGGGCAGCGCAATGGTGGCTGGAGGCCAGTTAAACTGTTCCTCAAAGTGTTCTGCCCATCGTCCCAGTCGCCTTCCCTGCGAGTGAATCGCCGATCCGTCCTTCTCCGCTATAACCTCACTAACTGTTGTTGACCATTTCCCCCCAGTCTCCTTAATAAGTCTAAATAACTGTCTACTGTTACCGATCGCCGCTGCCTTTTCCATCTCTTTAGCCTTTGCTGCCCACCACTGTTCACGATCGTTGCGCAGACTTTTCGTCAGTTTATTTTTAAGTTGCGCTCGCTCTTCATTGTACTCAGAGCCTGCAGGGATGCATTCACGTGCATCCATTAGTTTGGAAGAAGCTGCTGATATCCACTGGCTCTTTTTAGCCATTATCTTGGAGTCGGCTACAGTCTCCAGTGCTGCTTTTACAGTAGACTGAAGATGGCACCAAGCTTCTTCTGGATGAGTGACAGTCTTTTGTTCCGATAACTGCCTAGCCAACTTCTCACTGAACACGGCTTTGGTGTTTTCGTTGTCCAGCAGAACTCGTAGTGGTTTTGTTGCCAAATTTTTTCTACGTCCATTGAGACGCAGGCATATACGTGCTCGGACCAACGCATGATCGCTGTCCAAACACGTACTCCAGAAGGAGCGGCAGTCTTCCACCGATCCTCTCCAGCGATGACTAATAGCAATGTGGTCTATCTGTGTCCATCGCTGAGTCGAGCTCGGTGGACGCCAGGTCAGACAGTGCCTTTCTTTATGTCTGAAATTTGTGCTGGCTAAAAATAGGCGGTTATCTGAGCATAGTTGTAATAGGCGATCACCGTTATCTGTACGTTCAGCTGGGATTCCGAAAGTGCCACCTAAGTGCCTTTCTGCCTCACTCAGTCTACCCACCTGTGCGTTGAGGTCACCTGCAACAACCACTACGTCCGAACGTTTGGCTTTCGAGAGGAGGTTAGACAGTTTATGGTAGAACTCGTCCTTCACTTCATCCGAACTACAGTCAGTGGGTGCGTAAGCAGAGATTACAAAGAGACAACGGCGAGTCTCACTATTCCTTTTAGTTCTCACTGTGCCGTTCAGCCTCATAGCGCAGAGGCGACTATCAACTGGGATCCAGTCTAGTAGTGAGTTTTCTGCCCTGGTGCTTAATGCTATACCTACACCTGCAAGACCACGAGAGCTAGCTATCGAATCTCCAGAAACTCGAAGGGTGAATTTTGCAGATTCACCAGATTGGTCAGGAGAGGTCAGGTGAATAACCACACTTGGGTCCTGTATGCGTGTCTCACAAACACAGCACACATCCATGCCCGAGTTGCTAGAGTCTTTGCCAACGAAGCCTGTTGGCCAATTTGACGGAGGGTGCGGACATTGAAGGCTCCAATATGTAATTTGGAGCGTGGTTTAAGGAGACCAGGGATGCTGTTCTGTGGACTCAGATCGTTGTCGAAGGCTGCAGAGGTAGGAGAAATTGAAGATGATGCAGCATCATTAATTAAGAGACGTGAAGGAAGATTAGAAGGTAATGATGGAGGAGGAGGATAGCAGTCAGAAGAAACTTGGGTGCTGACAGAGTTGTGAGGGCGGTTGACACTTCCCGGCTGCCCACACCGTGGAAGGCTATTTCTTCTTAAGGTACCTGAAAGAGATTTGTGTGACCGCAGAGCCCATCGGACATCTGCTTGAGGCCTGTCACACCCAGCCTTTTGAGTATGATTATTTTGAACTTTTGTATTTTTGGGGCCGGATGGTCGAAAGGAAACGACAAGTGAACCAACACCGCCGGCCCGGCAGACCGTGGGGCGTGGTGGAGTGTGTTATTTTTGGGGCCGACCTTTTCTAACCCCCCCTTCCACTGAGAAGGCAGCATCAGCATGGCACTGCTGGTCATCCAAGGGAAACACCTTACTGCTGTCACACCCCATCCAGCTAGCAGCAGTACGACTTCGCCCTCAGACCCCCATCATAGTGTAGCAATTTACACTATAACGGTAACTGCTTTTCGTCTAACCACTATCCAACAGACCTTTCTGGTATGGTAGGACCTCGAGGGAACAAGCGTTCCACCAGCATAGCTCGTTGGGTCATTGTGATATGCAAGCCCGACCACCACGTCAAGGTAGCAGCTATCGGTCGGGGGTCATGTTCCACAGCTGTGTAATAGAACAGAACGGATTGAAATCTAATGTACCTCTCGTCTACATGTAGTCGACACCAAAGATGACCCAAGTTGGTAAGTGTCAAACGGACGGTTTATATTCAAACTGAAATTTCGTCAACAACCAACCTGTTGAGGTTGATGCATTCCACCACTTCACGTTGTGTTCTGTTCTTAAACTAAGAATTGGTGCAATTTATTATCACAAGTAAAAAAAAAATGCTTGCGAACAGAAAATACTCAGAATTCCGCTGAAGGCTTTCGGAATCAGCGTCGTTTGTCCACTGTGAGTCACTTAGGTGTTATCGTGGAAGTAAGTTAATTGCTTGCAAGTTGATCTTCTGGTTTTATCTGTTATTATGTCTATAACAGAGTTGAGCAAGAATGGTGGGTGATAGTGGTTATCCATCTCGTATGCTTCAATAAGCTTGACTGTGGACAAATAAGTCAGTTTATATTCCTAATATTTATAGATGTTTACCATTTAGTATATGTTTACGCTTCCTGATAAAAACGTATCACCATTTACGACATCACGTGAGTTGTTACTCAACCGTAATACTTTAAATCACCAATTACTATGAATCTGAATTACATTATTTTACTGCATTACTTGAATGTTCTGTTTAGAGATGTCAAACCGTCTAATATCCTTGTAAATCGAACAGGTGATGTTAAATTATGTGATTTTGGTGTTAGTGGACAATTGATTGATTCACTTGCCAATTCATTTGTTGGTACACGAAGTTATATGGCACCAGAACGATTAACTGGAGAACAGTATAATACTTTGAGTGATGTATGGAGTTTAGGTTTATCATTGGTTGAATTGGCAACTGGTCGTTATCCGATTCCAGCTATCGAAGATGAAAAGGTTTATTTAAGTGCATTCAGTCCACACAGAGATGTCAATTTGGATCAACATTTAGAAGCAGCTAAAGAAGGAAAACCACTCCCAGGTGAGGAAATCAAACGATGAAGTTATACTACTTTTTTCAAAAATTAATTTTTATTATATCGATAGTTGAATTACACAGTAGTATCTAAGGCTATTTCGCGTTTGTCACCATAACCCTGATATTTCTACCCGACTTCCTTACAAAGCAAGTGCTGGTGAAGTTATCCAATCCTGGTTATAAAGTGATAACGATAAAATATGGACATTTTGAAGAACACTGAATCATTGACATGATCACTATCATCATCTTTTTCAGTATTAATTTCCTGCCCATTTGTTTGTAAATTATTTATTATTATCTATCTGTCCCTTTGGGTTCCTACTGGAACATAAGGCTTCAGTAGCATATCGCCATTTCATTCTCTTCTCTGCAGTCTTTTCAACCTGGCTCCACCACTGCCCACAAGCTTTCATTTCTTCCTCACACGGTCTTCTCCATGTCACCACCCTCGGTCGCCTAACTTGTCGTTTCCCATTTCGCTTCCAATCGAGGGCCTCACCTGACCTGATGCATGATGTCACCAAATGGTCTTCTCAGTATATGTTCAATCCAATACAATCCATCTCCACTTTCTTCTGCATATTCGTTGGACGATGGGTTGTTGGTTGGTTGGTTCGTTACCAGTCAGAGCGAGTTCCTTGGTGCTTATTCGTATTAATCTAGCCATCTGATCTTCGGTATCGAGTGTAGGCAGCTGTTAATGAATGTCTGTAGTTTATTGAAATGCTTTTCGTGACGCGCTAACTCTCTCAACCATCACATGGAAGCACTGACTGATTTGACTGAATTAGTGTTGAAAATTCGGATCTTGTTCATGCTTTATGCTGAGTGCAGTTGATCTCCACACTGATTATTTCAGATTAACGAAAGCGTGTCTTGCTGTCTTTCTAATACTTCCTTTCACATCGTCATCTGTACCGCCACCAGTAGTTGAAACTACGCTGTCTGGGTAGATATGTGAAAGAGACAACTTGCTTTAGATTTCTCCCATTGATGGTGATTGGTGCTTGTTGTTGTTGGTTGGGTTGTTGTGAAGCCCGTAAATACCGAGAGCAAAATGAAATTGATGACTCTTTTACCAGTTACTGTGGACTTTGACCCTAGGAAATTGCAGTTAGCACTAATTGGTTGTCTAGGGTGGATTAGATGCCTAGTTGTTATTGGTTAGCAGTAGAATCCAGGACATGCGTTTTGTTTTATTTTAGACTCAGCCGGATGTATCTGTCTCTCACTAGCCACTGTCCAATAATTGTATCCAATTGAAAATACCAGTAATATTGAGGATCCGCACAGGGGCTTATATCCTAATAGTGTCGGTCAGTTTGGTCTAATCAACGATGAAGATGTACAAGCCAGAGTGTTAGCAACAATACCAAGTCATCATTGAGGACTTTTTGAATGAGGATGCGTTCGCCTGCCTAAGGCAAACCATATCTCAAAGTGAAGCATGTTCAGAAGTAGATACCAAAGTTAAAAGTACAATTTTTCCCTGAATCAAACTTTCAAATTGGATTAATCTAGTGCTTTTTGGTGACTCACTTCAAGAGGTGATTCCCGAAGTCCCAACAAGAAGTTTTGACCGGAGGAGCCAGCCAAGTCGGATATAAGGACAGATACTCAACGACGAGATTGAATGGAGGTTGCGCTATATCGCTAACTGACAGAGATAGGAAATATGGATCCTTGGGTTCCTACTTAGTAGCTCAATGGTAACGTCCTGACCGCGAAACCTGAAGGTCCTGCGTTTGATCCCTGGTAAGGTCATGGGTGTGCACCGCCGAGGAGTCCCATGCTATGATGAAACAACCGAAACAGCTCCGGAATTTCCAATGTTTCTCCACCTGATGTCATTCCTTGCTGAATACCAGCCTAAAATCAACAAATAAGTCCCCACTAACCATAAGAATAATTGAAATACAATAGCCAAAACAAGGCATGATGGACAGTTTCGAAACAGTCAGTGTTGTGAATCAATGGAGATCAAATAGAATCGAATGGTGGAACTGTCATTACTTTACTGCGTTAGTTCTCCAGTGAAATCAACATTGACAGAACAATTACCAAAATGAGGAGACAAAATCTACAGATGATGACTCATTTAGCTACATTATTGTGGCATGAATGTGTTTATGTGTGTTTGCTAAGGGTCAACTAATAATTATGTAGTGATGAGTTATATTCAGGTGGGATGAAAATCATGTGAATACTATAACGAAATAGAGAATAACAAATGTGAAGAGTTGGCTTTCGAAAGGAGGCTAGACAGTTTTCGGTAGAACTCATCCTTCACTTCATCCGAACTGCAATCAGTGGGTGCCTAAGCAGAGATTACAATGAAGAGACAACGGCGAGTTTCACCACTCCTTTAGTTCTGACTGAACCGTTCAGTTGGACAGCGCAGAGGCGACTATCAACTGGGATCCAGTCTAGTAGTGAGTTTTCTGCCCTAATATTTAATGCTGTGTCCACACCTGCAAGACGACGAAAGTTAGCTATGGAATCTCCAGAAAGTGGAAGGATGAATTTTGCGGATTGACCAGACTGGTCGGGAGAGGTTAGGTGAATAAGTGCACTTTGTCCTGTATGCTTGTCTCACAAACACAGCACACATCCGTTGTTCGAGTTGCTAGAGTCTTGATGAATGAAGCCTGTTGACCAATTTGACGGATGGTGTGGACATCGAAGACCTCGATGTGTAACCTGGTGCTTGGTTTACGGAGACCAAGGATGCTGTTCTGTGGACTCAGATGGTTGTCGAAGGTGGGGAGCTAGAATAAATTGAAGATGATGTAGGATTGTTAAGTGGGAGACGTGAAGTAAGATTAGAAGTTAATGATGAGGAAGGTGGATGGCATTGAAGGTGGAGGACATGAGAGTGCTTCAAGTGTTTGACCACCTTTGCCTTCGAAGTATACGCCGTACTCTGTAATGTCACCACGCGAGTGAGTAACGCAGAACTCAGGAGTTGAGGTAAGTCGGTTGACACGGTTGTCAACCTTCATCGACTGAGATAGCTGGCTGGGACACGTGTTACGTAGGCCTAGTCGCCGTCTGCCTCGTCACATCACACAATGTTGGCCGAAGTAGGTCCAGCCTGCAAAAAGGCTCGAGGTGGTCAGACTAAGACAGGCATCAACGTATGAAGTCTTTGACTGTTGGTTTCAACCATGTGGGGCAATACAGACTAGTCAGTTGGAGTCCGCGGGACAAGAGAAACCAGTGGTTGGAGACTCTAGCTGATGTGGCTTACAGTCAAAGTCAGTGGTGAAAATGTATACACACATTATCCTCATCTTAATGAGGCTATACCTAATCTCACCACTTTCTCATTCTTTCTTCCTCTCTTTTAGTACTTTATATTTCTTTTGACTGAATTTCTTATCTTCATCTTGCACCTCACTACCTTTTTACTTGATGTACTGATTGATATGAGGTGTGGCACCTCGGACCGTTACGCACTAATGTCTGGTCCCATGTTGATGGGTTATGATGTCGTCATGGTTGAAAATGACTACAAGTTATGATATGAACAAAGAAGGGCGTAAAACTAATAACATAAGAAAATGAATGTTCATCAAAGTAATAACAATATAGAAGAAAGGAATGGTAGGTTAAAATGTGCAATATGTGTTAGGAAATTTCATAAAGAACGTGTCGGCGCTGAGTTGTGCCAAAGTGGATGTACGTATTTCTTTGTACGTTATCTTGCGTTGATTCCTATGGCTTCGGCTATGAATAAGATGCGAAGTCGTGCACGTTTAGGGAGATTGCAAGGGACACGGTATATCACAGAAAAGACGTGGTTTACCTTAATCTGATGTCCGGTATTTACCAGATGTGAGAGGATTGCACTGTGAATGCTTTTTGTCATTCCTTTCCCTAACCACGATGGCACGTGTTCACGAGCGCTCATGGATAAAGCACTTTGATTACGGCCTATGTAACTAGCTCCACAGGAGCAGTTGAACTCATAAATGCACTTTGAAGTTTCCATCATAGGTAATCTATCCTTGGTTCGCTGTGTCAATAATGGTTTGGTTGAGAAGCTGACAAAAAGTTTCACTGCATTGAATGTCCTTTCAACTGATCTACCTAATCGATGTGTTAAGATATCGGCACCAATATCACCCTTGAAACTTAGTCTAAGATATATAGGCTTGTGTAATTCCGAAAAAGAATGACTTCAGCGAATAATTGTTTTCGATAACTTCTTCTTCAGGCTCTACAGCTATAAATCTAGAGAATAATTGAAATACAATAGCCAAAATAGGGCATGATGTACACTTTTATTATATTGAGACAGCCAGTGTTATGGGGTGAATGGAGATTAAATGGAATGGTGGAATTGTTATCAGTCTGTTGTGTTAGTTGTGCAATGAAATTATTACTGACAGAACAATTACGAAATGAGGCGACAAGTTGGTTTTCTGTGTGTTATCATCATCTTCAAATACACCGATCATTTCTTCTTGTTTTCAAGTGTTGTGTCTCAAACGAAGAGAACACCATTCTATGTTGTTATACTATTTATTTCTCTGATAATTATTTTTTAAAAAAATATCTTTTTGACTGTCTGAGATAGTCATGGTTTGGCAGACTAGATTTTTTCTTACTGGGTGGTGATCGAAGGTAAAATGAAAAATTGGACGGTGCCAGGATTCGAACCAGCGACCACTGCGTTTCCGGTACGATGCTCTCAAAATCTTCATTTAACCTTCAATTATCAGACAGTATACATTCTAGTCTGCCAAACTACGGCTATCTCATATAGCTAAATGATAATCAATATGATGCTCCCCTCTCTGATTCAGTTAGATTTGGATTTGGATGAGAAGTTGTGACTAGGCACCCAGTGTGAATATAATCAACCGGTAGTAACGCGTAGGGCAAAACCCTCAATCATCATCCAGTATAAATTATTTTTCTGCTACTCTCTGGCGATTACATTGAGAAAATAATTGCTCTTTTCAATGATTTATTGAATGTATTCGAACCATATTTTTAATGTGATATCCTCTTTGACTTTTAAAACCTTCTTTATCTCTGTAATAACTGCCTGTTTTCATAATTAGATGTCTATACCCCTCTATTTCTCTCTTTACAGCTGTCAATAGTCCGAGTTCTGGTCCAATGGCAATATTTGAACTTTTATCCTATATTGTCGACCAGCCACCACCTCATCTGCCACAATTTTGTTTCTCTGATGACTTATTGACCTAGTTGATTCATGTCTTCGACGACCAGCTAGTGATCGTCCATCATTAGAAAATCTTTTAAGGCATAAATTTGTTGTCACAGCAGCTGGTGCCTGTCCATCAGGTAATATTCAGCGTCAAAGTACAGTGATAGATATTCAACAAAATGGAGGTAATTCAAATCAATGTGAAGATCCAATCAATATTGGACGATATCTAGCCGCTGTACTACCACCAGTTTCGAATGATGATGTCTCTGTTAATCAAGCTTCCTATTGATTTACTTTCATATTAATTAACCAATTGAGTATATTTTCTTTCTATTCACGTGCAATTGTCTCCCATTATATGGTGTTCTGAAGAGACTTATTTCACAGATATACCCGTTTAATTGTGTATATGTTGTTGCTTTTCAGTAATCTAGAGGATTTTTTTTGTTCTTCAATCTAATCTGTATACAAAATCTCTCATACTTTGATCATATTTTAATAATGAGTATGTGGCTTAATCCACATTTTTGTAAATACTTATCAGTCGATAGTTGCAGTATATTATTATACATATATACGAATGCCAAACAACTGGAATAACAGATAGAAGGGTATGAATTATTTTTCATTCCCGGTTTTATTTCCTCACTGTCTGTTCCTCATTTTCTTTTCTAGAAACTTATTTATTTACATCCTTGTTTCCTTGTGATTGGCATAATTTTACTCCATTCCCAATTAGTTTATGTTACTCTGTGTTCTCAATGATTTTATCGTATTGTTTCATTGTTGAATTGAAAAGTAGAAACATATTTAACTGCTTTTTTTTTTCCCTTCCTACTTCCAGTATTTTATCTTCTGATTTATGCTTATTTAAAGAAATGTAATAAATAAATTTGATTCTACCTTTGTTGTCATTTTTGCATGCAAACTATTCAATAATAAAAAAACCCTGTAAAACCATTTACAGAATGATACCTGACGAAAGATATTATTTTCTGCAAACTATAAAAACGGTTAGGTTACTAACTGGGAAGAGATCAACACAGCACAGATGAAACCAATAAAAGATGATGAAGCCCGTGAATCGACCACCAGCTACAGCCACAGAACTAGCAGTGAACACAAGCCCTCCGACAATAGTCAAACTCCTGAACGTCATAAAGCTACTGAAATGCGGGAATCCAGCAGGACCACATGGAATCCCGCCAGAAGCACTGAGATCAGACGCAGGGATAACAACAGAAGACATGCTCACAACACTATTGCAGAAGGTCTGGAAGGAAGGAAGGAAGGAAAAGTACCTGTCGAATGATTGGAAGAAGGGCTACCTTGTCAAACTCCCGAAGAAGGGCGATCTAAGTGTTTGCAGGAACTGGTGAGTAATCACTCTCTTGTCCACCCTGAGCAAAATATTAAGCCACATCATCCTGGAGAGACTAAAGGATGCGCTCGACTCAAAACTACCACCTGAGAATGCAGGCTTCAGAAAGTACAAATCATATGTGGACCGAATTGCAACGCTACACTATGCATTATCATAGAACAGAGCATAGAATGGTAGTCAACTCAACTCTACCTCAACTTCATCGACTTTGAAAAGGTCTTCGACAGAGTCGACCGACTAGTAATTTGGCAAGTAGCCTCCTCAACACTACGACGGAAGAACACAAACCTTTATCAACCTCATTCAACAAGTACATGAAGACGCCAGATGCCAACCAATTAATTCACGATGCGAAGCTCAGTGATGCTTTTGAAGTGAAGACAGGAGTGAAACAAGGCTGGCTGGCTGTCTACTATCACTGGTGATATTCCTGATTGCAGTGGACTGGACTGGATCATGCAGCAAACAGTGAGGAGCGAGAAGAGGGTGGGGGGGATATAATGGCTGGACCACGGAAAGGAACCTAGAAGACTTGGATTTCGCCAGTGATGACTAGTTTCTGATGTCGCACAAACTTGGAGATCTACAGGCGAAAACCAACAAGTTGACAGAAGAGGCGAGGCGAGGCAGGGCAGCGAAGACGGGACTTCAAGTGAATATAGAGAGGACAGAGGTGATGCTTATACCCAAACAACAACAACAGCAACAACAAGCTCCAGTTACCATGAACGGGAGAAACGTGAAGTAAGTAGCCTCCTTCAACTATTCAAGCAGCACTGTTTCAACTACAGGCGGCGGTGGCACAGACGAGGATGTCAAGGCCAGTCAGAATCGGAAATGCAAGACAGGCGTTCATTAGCCTGAAACCAATGTGGAGATCTACTGCACTCAGCATGTGGAACAACATCCGCATTTTCAACACCAACGTCAAGTCAGTACTTCTGTATGGTTGAGAGAGTTGGCACTTTACGAAAGGTATTTCCAACAAACCACAGACATTCATCAACAACTGCCTAGGCTGGCTCCTTACTGAATATCAGATGGCGAGAATGATAAAAGTGAGCAACAAGGAAGTCTGGTTGGTGACGAATCAACCAAGAAGCTATCGCTGAACAAATATGTTATGTAAGGAAGTGGAGATGGATTGGATTGTGCATAGACTGAGAAGGCCGACTGGGGACATCACACGATAAGTGAGGCCCTCGAATGGAACCCAGATAGGAAGCGATGAGTTGGGCGTGAGGCGAGGGTGACATGGAGGAGATCGTGCGAGGAGGAAATGAGGGGTTGTGGGCTGTCGTGGAGCCAGGTTGAAAAGATTTCAGAGAAGAGAGTGCATTGGAGACGTGCTACTGAAATCCTATGTTACATTAGGAACCCAAAGGACAAATAATAAATAATAATAATAAGGCTTAATATTTTGCTCAGGGTGGACAGGAGAGTGATTACTCACCAGTTCCTGCAAACACTTAGATCGCCCTTCTTCGGGAGTTTTGACAAGGTAGCCCTTCTTCCAATCATTCGACAGGTACTTTCCTTCCTTCCTTCCTTCCAGACCTTCTGCAATAGGTTGTGAGCATGTCCTCTGTTGTTGTCCCTGCGTCTGTTCTCAGTGCTTCTGGTGGGATCCCATGTGGTCCTGCTGGATTCCCGCATTTCAGTAGCTTTATGGCGTTCAGGAGTTTGACTATTGTCGGAGGTCTTGTGTTCACTGATAGTTCTGTGGCTGAGCTGCAGGTGGTATTTCTGGATGAAGTGCAGGTGGTGGCGGTGATCGATTCAACAGCTTTTTCAAGTGGTCACTACATCGTTTCCTTTGTTCCTCTTCTTTGGTAATTTGATTGCATTCATCATCTTTTATTGGTTTCATCTGTGATGTGTTGATCTCTTCCCTACCAGTGAGTAACCTGGTTATTTGATACAATGTTGTCAGGTCTCTCTTACCCGATTCACTCTCTTGTCCAGCATAGTGTTTTATAGGTTGTACTCAGTTCCTCTTGTTGTTGTGCATCCTTGCACTGCTTCATCTTTCTTCTGCTTCACCATCCTCCTCTCCCTGCTCTATCAGCTTCCATGTGGAAATCTGTCGACATCCATTCCTTGTCCTGTCCTGTCTTGCTTCTTCTTCCTTCCTAATACGGTTATGCAGGTTTCACTCCATGTCTCTTTCAAAGACTTCCAGTGTTCATCCACACAGGTTTATTCACGGATGTTCCTCGACTTCTCCCACTTCGTCTTGATGGCTGCTGTGAAGATTTCCTTCGTAGTTTCGTCCTTCTCTTTCTGTTCCGAGTGCTGTACTTGGACTCTGGTCTATCACCAACTTCCTTGAAGGTTTTCAACTTGATTTGGAAGGTTCCTGGTACAAGGTAGTGAGTGGTCTGAACCAACATCTGTTCTTCTTCTTGTCGTTATGTGAAGCCGGTCTCCTTTTGAAGTCCTTATAATTGTCTTCTGCTACTAATGATTATATCTTTTTCTCTCTCTTTAGGTTCCGCTGCCCACCACTTCGCGGTTTTTGTGTAGAGTTTTCGTCAACCTAGTCTTATGTTGCACTCGCTCTTCATTGTATTCAGAGCCTGCAGACAGTAATGCTTTCACGTGTGTCCTTTAGTTCGGAAGAAGCTGCTGATATCCACTGACCGTTTTTAGCCACTATTTTGGATTTGGCTACGGTCTTCAGTGCTGCTTTTACAGCAAACTGAAGATGGCACCAAGCTTATTCTGGATGAGTGATAGTCTTCTGTCCCGATAACTGCCTAGCCAACTTCTCACTGAACACGGCTTCGGTGTTTTCATTGTCGAGTTGCATTCGTAATTGTCATGTTGCTAAGGTCTTCCTATGTCTATTGAGACTCAGACAACTACGTGCTCGGACCAAGGCGTGGTCGCTATCGAAACACGTGTTCCAGAATGAGCGGCAGTCTTCCACGGATCCTCTCCAGCGATGACTGATAGCAATGCAGTCTATCTGTGTCCATCGCTGAGTTGAGCTCGGTGGACGCCAAATGAGATAGTGTCTTTCTTTGTGTGTGAAGTTTGTGCTAGCTAAGAACAGGTGGTTATCTGAGCACAATTGTATGTAGTATGTGGTCACCGTTATCTGTATGTTCAGTTGGGATTCCGAAAGTGCCACCCAAGTGCCTTTCTGCCTCACTCGGTCTACTCACCTGTGCATTGAAATCACCTGCAACAACCACTACGTCTGAACGTTTGGGTTTCGAGAGGAGGCTAGGCAGTTTTCGGTAGAACTCATCCTTCACTTCATCCGAACTGCAATCAGTGGGTGCCTAAGCAGAGATTACAATGAAGAGACAACGGCGGGTTTCACCACTCCTTTAGTTCTGACTGAGCCGTTCAGTTGGACAGCGCAGAGGCGACTATCAACTGGGATCCAGTCTAGTAGTGAGTTTTCTGCCCCAATCTATAATGCTGTGCCTACACCTGCAAGACGACGAGAGTTAGCTATGGAATCTCCAGAAAGTGGAAGGATGAATTTTGCTGATTGACCAGACTGGTCGGGAGAGGTTGGGTGAATAAGTGCACTTTTGTCCTGTATGCTTGTCTCACAAACACAGCACACATCCGTTGTTCGAGTTGCTAGAGTCTTGATGAATGAAGCCTGTTGACCAATTTGACGGATGGTGTGGACATCGAAGACCTCGATGTGTAACCAGGTGCTTGGTTTACGGAGATCAAGGATGCTGTTCTGTGGACTCAGATGGTTGTCGAAGGTTGGGAGCTAGAATAAATTGAAGATGATGTAGGATTGTTAAGTGGGAGACGTGAAGTAAGATTAGAAGTTAATGATGAGGGAGGTGGATAGCATTCTGAGGAAACTTGAGTGCTGATTGAGTTGTGAGGGTGGTTGACACTTCCCAACTGCCCACACCGTGGAAGGGTATTTCTTCTTAAGGTACCTGAAAGAGATTTGTGTGACTGAAGAGTCCATTGGACATCTGCTTGAGAGTTGTCACGCGCTGCCTTTTGTGTATGATTATTTTGAAGTTTTGTTGTTTTGTGGCGGGATGGTCGAAAAGAAACGACAAATGAACCAACACCGCTGACCCTGGCAGAACTTGGGGCGTGGTGGAGTGTGTTATTTTTGTGGCCGACACTTTCTAACCCACCCCTTTTCCAATGAGAAGGCAGCATCAGCATGGCACTGCTGGTCATCCAAGGGAGACACCTTACTGCTGTCAGATCCCATGCAGCTAACAGCAGTACAACTTCGCCTTCAGACCCCCATTATAGTGTAGTAATTTACACGACAACGGTAACTGCTTTTCGTGTAACCAATTTCCAAGAGACCTTTGTGGTATGGTAGGACGTTGAGGGAAGAAGTGTTCCACCAGCATAGCTTGTTGGGTCATTTTGATATGCAAGGTTTAGCACGACGTCAAGGTAGCAGCTTTCGGTCGGTGCGTTTAGAAAATTCATCTCACATTGTTTGATATACTGCACTAATTTGACAATTAAAACCATCGAATAACGAAACTAAATGCACTCAGCTTGTGCACATTCGTGCAATAGGCAATGCGCCATACCTATTTTTTTTTGTGAGGGCTAGCGATATTACCTGGCTTCCTAAAGCAC